AAAAAATTCATGCAAAATGAAGATGGGTGCCATGCAAAATTCAGCAGGAGTTCCAAGCAGATTTGACAGATGGTCAATGTGATTAACAAGCTATGACAGTTAAATGTATGCTGCAAAACTTACTGCTCTACCACAATTCAAAAGCTCAACAGAGAGAGTCAGGAAATTGGTGCACAGGCTGGTAAATCCAATTTCTCAACATTAATCACAGTAAGTACCTTACTTATGCCTGGACATAATCTAAGAAGGTAACCAATCCACCATGTTGCTAATAATCATAGTTATGCTATGATTGCACTTGCAGGGTTAAACATCTCCATGACAACATCCATCAGGTAATAGTATAATGCTGATAAAGGTTCTGCACTGAGCTCATATTTAATAAGTAAACACATGTTCATTGTTGAAAAATACTTACAGAGTGGTCAAATACATTATTATTGCATTTTCTATATAATCTTGCAGAGCTGGTGGAAAAATTTCAGTCAGCCTTGTACAGGCACTATTGGAGTGCAGGTCAATCTCTATACAGATCTGATGATATGCAGGCACTTTGTGAGACTTGTGCACCACATCTCTTTTACATCCTCACATCATCATTACATCAGTACAATAGTGAGTGCAGATAGACATGCCACCAGTGAGAGGCATTCACATTCACAGCAGCAAAGAATAGTTGCACTACTTCACAAGTTGCCTACCTGCCTAAAGTTTTGCCATTAGAAGAATAAAAAATTATTACATTTTACATAATTTACAAAATTTCCATGTCAGCTTTATTCTGACAGTGTCAGCAGCCACTGGTAAAAAACAACCTTTGTTCTTGAGTATGATAACAGGATAATGTGCAATTTCCCTTAGATCTCAGAAAACATCACAGCTCCAGAAATAAGCTGAAATGTTCCTTGATATTCATGGGTTAACCAGGTCTGCACAGACTGCAGGGAGAGTCTTGGACCTTAGCAGTGGAATATGTATGAACGACATGTTTAAACAGCAGCAGGCAAAACAACCATGAGGAAGTTGTGGAAAAAACTGTGCTGACAGCCTGCAGGATAAAGCAGAACAAATAGAATGAACAATAAACATAAACACTTTTGTAAAAACATAAGCAATCAATGAAATGGATATTAATTTTTTTTTAAGACCAAAAAACTTGTTATCCATCTTATTAATGACTTTCATGTTATGAATATGCCTACTAAACCAACTGATAAAGTTAATGTGGCAATTCATATGGCATCAAGTCTCCCAGCCATAGCAGTTGCCCATCCATTTGATGGAGCAATGATCCTTTTCTAACAAGAGTAAATGAAATAGGTGATTCCTTCAATAAAGGTATTATAGAGCATGATACAAGTAGCAACATTGCCACAATAGTCGTGAACAGCCCAAAAGCCAGCTAGCAATACATGCATATGCCTCTAGGTATTCAGACTTTTACAAGTCGCATGACAGGGGAAATATGATAACTAGAAGTATGGAACAGCTGATTATACCACAACCGAGTGTTCCACACAGGACAACTCAAGAAAGAAGACATAGCACAAAAAGGCCTACCTGCTTCAGTTGTAAATTCACACCAAAACTACTTTTCAATTGTGGGTAACCTTGCCACCAAAGATCTTGAGGTTCTCACCTTACCCACCCTTACCTTTTACAATCACACAATCAATCTCAACAACAACACCATCAGTAGCTCAACAACAGTTTTCTAACTTAAGTGTACCACCACAATCCACTTCAATACATGTTCCATCTTCAACAACACAATCAGTCTCATTCTGGGAACTGTCAGCCTTCCTATCTCAGTCAACAATTGGGGGTTGTCAAGGCAGCAATGCTTGTACAGTTATTTCTTTGTTGTTAGCAAAGACATACTTAGCAAACAAATCCTTCCTTCAACTGAAAAACCACCAACCACTGACTCCAAGCTGGATGTCATGTATGATGGGGGGAAGTCAGGTATATGACAGTTTCATGCAATCACTATCATATCTTGGTGTTGTTGAAGCCATACCTCTTGTCAGAAGCAGCCTGGTTAGTTTAAGTTATGAAAAGGAGTTAACTGTTTGTTTTTTCAAGGAGACTAATTCAAGTGAGGAATCTGCTCTGAGTTTCCACCTAGTAGAAGACTTACCAACACAAATGCTGCTTTTACAATAATTAATGGTTTAACGATTTCATAGCTAAGCCATGCAAATGACAACATCATCTTAATGGATAGCCACCTCCACTTACTAAAAGGCACCTTACTTGCACAGTCTCAACGCAGTGACATTGAAGAACTATTAAACTGGCTGAAGTCAGAGCTATCTGCGACGGTGAATTTGTGTACGGTTACTTTCATCAACTTCAGGTAACACTGTGTGGTAAGAGTGCTTGGGAAAATGGGTAAAAAGTGATAGCTTCAGAAAAAAGATGGCGACAAAACAAAGTCACTTTGAAACCGTAATTACCTGAAGTTCAATCCCAATTGGTTGCCTAGGTAACCGTAGCTCCCACAAAAAAAACAAAAAACAAAAAAACAAAAAAAAAAACGAGAAAGAGAAAGGAAAAAGGGGCAGAAAAGGGGATATAAAGAGGAAAGGTACTGTGGTCGTCTCCCTTACATTGACTTCCAAATGCATGCATATGTTCCTTCATTATGGAAAAATCATACTTGGCAATCTCGTCTTCTAGAATTGCTTACTTTAAAGGAAAAATATGATCTAAAAACAAATACTTATTAATTTACAAAATGAAGTCTTACGGCGGAGTCGCCCTCGGGCTGCATCAGACACCTAACTCAAACATGAAAAGATACCTAAACTTTTTTTTTCTCTAGATTCAACATCTATAAACTCATCAGTTTCACTTACGGCAAACCGGGATGTTAAGACGTATTTCACCTTCCCCCGGCACAAAGGTACAGTCTTTGAAAATGTTTTATCAAAGCGGCTGTAAGGCGACTGATCTCAAAAACTTTATTAGATCAGATGACAAATAGACAATTTAAGGTCATGTTGATAAACTGATCAAAAATCTAGAGAAACGATCAATATACAGGCCGCTTGCGTGGATCGAAAAGTCGTTGCTCGAGGGAGTTTTTATCATTGTATAAATTAACTGATTGCAGTACTTCAGTCATACCTTCAAACAAATAATTGTCAGCGCTATTATAGTGAAAACTCAGAAATGGCTTCGAAAGCCATTTTCCAAAAAAGGGAACATCTGCACATAACATTTTTACTGAACTCTTAAGCTGATTTTGATACGCTTTTCCCGTAGTTCTGTTTTGGTATTATTTCTATTTTTTTCACTGCGTTTATACTTCAGAAACACAGAACAAATAATTTCGCTGAGTTACGAATGACCTAAATATCACTCAAGAGGGTAAAATTTTCCTCTTGTGGCCTCCAATAAACAGCTGGTAGAAGAGCGTCAAAGTTAAAATTCCCTTCGTTATCAAGGCAGCAAGCCTTTTTATCCATTTCTTCCTTGGACACATAAAGCTCCGAGAAGGAGCGCTGGCTTCCGAGGGGTACTCTCTCATTTATCTTATTAGCTGCCCAAGTATTCACCATAATTCGCCGGCCGTCCATAACACTGTAGTTATTTTCCCATCTGTAACTGTTACTTGCACTGGATATTCTTGGACAGTTCAAAAATCGGTATTTTGGGCGAACGTTAACTTGGCTTTGATTTCCGCTTCCTGGAAATATTGCCGGTAGAGCAGCTGCAGGGTTTGTTGTGAGCAAGTGCACAAGTTGAAGATTGTTATCGCCATGTTGGGCGTGGCCTTCATGTACGGGATCTTTTATGTAAGAGTGATCTCTTCCAGTCTGATGACAAGGTCTCTTGACAGGAGTTATCGAGTTCCTGTAAGGAAGGTCCATGTAAGATTTCGTTTACAACTGAAATAGAATAATCGCTTTGATCTTTACTTTGTTGGATTTAAATTCCTAAGCATTACGTCATAGAGACGTAACTGCTGTTTTTTTTTTCGTAAGCGCGTGCAGAATATCAACAGTTTATTTTCTTCTACTGTAAACAACTAAAAGAATTTACAAAAATATAATTATAAATAAATAAACAGTACATACAGTAGTGGGACACCCAAAATAACTAAAAAGCTAAAATAGTTGGGTGACCGTAAATATGATGATTAAAAATGTGAGAGTCAGGAAAGAGGCATAGCAAATACATTGGTACACATAAATATCATAAATTGGTACAAAAGTAAATATATAGAACAAGAAAAAACTGAAATGTTATGTGGCCCCAGTGCTTTACTTGTACTTAGGCTAGAAATAATATTCTCAACCTCTGTTGGTGATAAATAAAAGCTGTCGCATTGTGAATTTGTTAAATATTCCACAAAGGTTCTATTGCCAAGTTGAATACGCTGTAAGAATCTGCTTTGAGCAGTGAACTCAAGACATATCACATGCAGTAAGCAAAACACGTCCGCCACCTTTGCTGACCGCTGACCACGAATCAAAGATCAGTAGCGATCTAAGGATGGCACTTTTGAAGAAGCAACTTTTCTACTTCACTCTCGGTGAGTTCTCGTTCTGTAGATGTTATGGTGGCCTCCTTCGCAGCTTAATTCATCACGCAACGTGTTCTGATTTTAAGAGTGCATTGCATGACAAAAAAAACAGCGACTGCTAAGGAGAGTAATTGTCTCAGAAAGAAAAATCCTACTTTTTAAAATAGACAAACCAAATGAAGATCTTTTGCAAAAACTTTGGGGAAATGCTTTGAGCTTTTCGTTCATTTTATGTCTTGTGTCCTAGAACAGAAAGCTGAGCAGGAAATACGACACAGCGGTCAACTCCGGATGTTGATGCAGCCTGGCCTCCTTCACCCGTCGAGATTATCGCCTGGCGTTTTCCGGTGTTGCTAAGCAATATTTCTTTCACGCGGAGTCATCAAGCGAAGTCATGTAGCTATATTGATCTGAAGATATGTAATCTAAAAAACTTATGAATCACGGTTGATGACGGCCAGCGAATATGTCTCAGAAGAAATTTTCTGGGGCACCATTCGGAGTACAGACTTCGAGGTGAGTGCGATTTACTAACGCTACAAGTAAGTTGGTGTCAAAGTTAATTGCGCGCGAGTCTGTTTCTTCGAAATCAATAACTTCATTATACCTATGCCTATTCCTTCGTCATTCTTTATTCTTGAAGCATTATCAAAGAAAGCAAAGGAAGCTTTGAGTTCAGATTTTAAGATCTTAGTAAATTGAAGAATTTCGTGCTTTACTCGTGGTCATGCAACACTCGTTCAGGCTTGTCAACATATTCTGGAATGCACCCAAACAATTAATAGATAAAGTTAATTGACAAGACACAATGATATGATATCTTGTATTGATTAATCTTGAGAGAGCTTTCATCGTTAAAAGTTTTACTCAGTGGGGGCATGTGACGTTCTGAACATTTTACCAAGAACACCTCCAAAAGAGTTTTGATTTTTTAATTTTTATGGTAAAGTCTACACGAGGAAATTACGGTTAAATGTGAAAAAATTTCCTGTAGAGATGCTCAGTAAAAATACGCTCTGATCACACTTTGGGTTTCAATTAATTTTGATTTGCAGGTTTGATGTCGCTGGAATTCATCCGAAAAGCAAAACGCCTGGAACAATAACACAAGTAGCATATGACAAGAAATGCATGCAAGAAGTGGTGGGTTATCTCTTGGTTATTTAAGTAATGCTGCACAAGAATGTACGATGTCTAACTCCTCTGGGGTGCTTAAACCTTCACTCACTTCAACTGGAGAGCTAAACATTTTAAGACAAAATACAACATCTACAGATGTTTTGTTTTGCAATAATTGCCATCATAAATTTTGCTGAAAATCATCATACAAAGTTTGCCCACAATTTTAATTTTAAGAAATCAGCCAGTCTCAATGCTTATTGGAGATAGCTGCTGGTTGTTACAATAGCTTGATACTAGAAAAAAACTATTTCAGAGACTTTCTAAATTGTAGCATGGGTAAGGGAGGGTCATACAAGTGTTAAGTTTTTGCTGTTAATTAACAGACAGTTTATTCTTGCACCAGAATCGCCGTCTTGGACCAGGTTCATATAACATTGATGTGGGTGGATTTAATCCCAAGTCTGTTTCTGAAAGATCCTCTGGTCCTGGTAAAGATATGCATTTTTTTTGTCAATGGGTATAAAGATAATGGTCTTTTAAATTTTCATTTTCTATGAATTTAACTGCCTACAAAGTAGACAAGTATCCCATGATTCTGTGTGGAAGAACTTGCTGCAAACTATCTGCCACTTCATTTTAATTGAAAAATCAAGAACTCCACTCTTCTAAGAGATTCATAATGGCTGCTTATGGACAATTACATAGTAATGAAAGAGATTTAAGGTCAAATTGGAAGGTTTAAAGTGTAGGTAGTCTTGATTAATATGTGTTCACTTACCGTATTTGTTAGTCTACTTGTGGATAGATGATGGATACCAGTATATTTGGTGATTATCAATTGATTCATGAAGTTACTCCATGATCAGCCACTGGCTAACTGGTTATTGAGAAATTTTCTACCAATAGTCAGCCATTGTCTTGGTAGAGATGTTAGTGGACTGTCAGTCATCTGTCAGCGGCAAACAGCAATCTACCAACCATTGACCAACTGTCATCAACTATATCTAGTACTTGATTAGCTGAGGCTTCCCTCATATACATTATTCATGAAATTGATCTGGGCTATACTTAATGTCAATCCTTAGGATGGGAAAGGGCATTTGAAACAGCTCGCCTTGCAAAAATACCTCATCTCTTGTACAAAGAACAATGGGAAAAGAAGCAACTACAGGTAACTACATGTGAATGCTTTATGCAAATGTAAACACAAGCTGGATCGATAATTAATGGTTACATCTGGAAAAATGCATATTTTGTGTAAAATGTAAATCCTTGGACTAGACTGAGATAGAATATTTCCTCTCCAATTATTCACCAAATTGTTTCCCTTTTATCTGTTGCCTTTAATCTATTAAGAAGTTTGTAGCACAGTTACAATCATTTTACTTTGGATCTAGTTGTTTTACTTGTAATTTTTTCTTATTCAAGTTTTCAACTCTTTTTTACTTAAACAGAAGCAACTTCTTGGTCCTGGGACATACACCATCACTGATTTTATTGATCACATGGGCAAAAAGCCTGGGAGCACAAGAGGTGTTTGTGAAACCAGAGAAGCAAGATTTGATGCCACAAAACTGGTGTGTTACTTGAATGTCTGGTCAATAATATTAATTGTTAATTGACACTGCCAAATTGTATTAAACCTGTGACCTCCTAGGAGTGAAAAGCATATACTGGTAGTTTCTCCATACAATATCACCCCCAAATCACACATTAAGGTAATGAGAATAAAGGAAATGATCACCAACTAAAGAGGCTTTGGATTGTGAAACAAATTCTCCTTATCAGCACCTTAGGGAATGTATAGGAAACAGCATGGAGAATATGCATGCTTGTGTTAGGGTGGAAAGGGTTAAAATCCTCTTAGCCAGCATAAGTTATAGAATTCCAGTTCAACATCTAACTGGTCTGTGATGGAAGTTTACATGATCGTTTTACCTTACTAGTCAATGTACTTTCAGATCCACCCTCTTTGTGGTGTGCTCAGTCCCTATGCTTTTCTCAAGTCTGGTCTTTGACTCAACTAAAAGGGTGTTGTTAGGGAAGGGGCTATATTCGAGCCTATAGGTAATTAACCCTTTAACTCCCATGAGTGACCAAAACAGAATTTTTTCTCACAATATCCATACAATATCAAGCAGACAAGGGATGAGAACAAAGAAGTATAAAGTAGGGGATTATAAGTTGTTCTAATAACAAATCCTCAGAACTAAAATCATAGGAATTGTATGACAGTCATTAAGGAGAATTTCTAATGAAATCTTGGGATTGAAAGGGTTAAACATTTCCAAAATGTCTAATTGACGCTGTATTAAGTGTGCAAATACCCACAGATGCCACTAAATTAAAAATTACAGGGAATGCGTTTCTTTTTTATCTTTTGTTTTTGAAATGCTTTAGAGTCATGTGCCAGGGCCAGGAACTTATGGTAAGGGAGGGATACCAAGTGCTGTGATTGAGGAGAAAGTTCGAAAGTCGGTCAGTAATGTAGGAATGCTGGATTCTGGAAAGTCTTACAAGAGGCAACTTCCGGAAGTGGTATGTACACTGCCTATCAATGCTACATTGCTTGGTGAATACCACCAAAAGACTTAACAATATTCATCTTTGAAATGTTTGAATGTCGGATTCTGGACAGCCTTACAAGTGGCTAGGCAGCTTCCAGAAGTGGTATGTATAATTATCTATTAATGCTATGTTACATTGCTTGGTGAATACCACCAAAATACTTAACAATATTTGTCTTTGAAATGTTTGAATGTTGAATTCTGGACAGCCTTACAAGTGTCTAGGCAGCTGCCAGAAGTGGTACGTATAATTGTTAATGCTATGCTACATTGTTTGATGAATACCACCAAAACACTTATCAATATTCTTCTTTGAAATGTTTGAATAGGGAAGTCATTTGTGTCCTGGACAGTATGAGATGAAGAGTTTCACAGATGAGATGGAGGCAAGAGTGGTTAGCAAAAGAGGACCTTATGATCTGTTCACTGGTGAAAGGAATAAACCCATATCTGTAGGCTACTTTGCTCTTCCGGTAGGAATCTGATAACCTGATTTAAGTGTGAGGTTGACACCAGCTTTGAAAAAAGTGTCTTTGACCAAACATGTATTTTTATCTTTCAGACAAAGCAAAATTTGGGTCCTGGAGAGTATGACTTAAAGTCATTCCTACACGAGCTTCAAGGTAGGCAATTTTACAGGAACTAGTTTATCTGCAGCTCATGCATGTTCAGTTGGTTCCAGCAGGCAAGAAACTATTCAGGATTAAAAATGACTTGAACCTCTCCATCCTTAACCTAAACAAGAAACATTATTAACTAATAAGATCATCAGGATGTCTGGATAATGTGAATGGAAACAAAATTGGTTGTTAACTATAAACAGCAGTGTGCTCTGATCGGTTAGATGACAATGAAACAGTGACACAAGAAAATGTTGCATTTACTTACTTAGAGTCATTTTTGACAATCTGAAGGGCTAAGCAAATGAACCAAAGAGAGGGATTTTCATGGACTTTTCATTCCTCAACTTTTTTTTTTCTAGATAAGCATAAGAACCACCATGGAGTCTTCTTGAAGGTGCAGCGTTTCCCGCCATACCCAACCAACAGGATCTATTGTTCAACGCTGAGTCAATACCCAAGAGACCCTGTAAGTTTTTTTCCATGGTTTGCCAGAGTTGTGATTGGCTAAGATGCTTTTGTATTGCTCGTTTTTTTTTTTTAGTGCAACTTAAGCATGATCATGATCCAAATACAAAGTCAGATCAAGATAGGCCTTCAATGTTTGCAGGCTCAGATATCTTTCTGTTAACCATCTTTCCATAAAACAAACATGTGCATAACCTTTGAGTTTTTTTCACATTAGACTGACCCAGGACCTGGAAACTACTCACCCCAGGAGCTTACAAAGCCAGAAGCGACCGTCAGACCACCCTTTGGTTCAACTGCTGAAAGATTTGACCGTCATGCCAGAAGATTCTTCCTTGGAAGCACAGTACGTCTCTACACCTTCATAGGAAGAAGAGTTAGCAATAGTGCCAACATTCAGTAAACACAGCTCAAAAGAAAGTCATGTTAACCCCTAGCATTGCATTTGTCATCATAGGTGGAACTATAGCTTTTTGTATAGCAGGAGCTAGCCAGAGAAGGAAGGAGTCATTTTATGCTGGTTTACTCTTGTTTGGAATTGAGCAATAACTTCCTACTTGTAAAATAAAAATGAAACAATTCCAAGCAAATTTTAAGGATTGATAGACAGCAACATGGATTTAGTTACTCTGATCATGCCTGGTGGTCTTGAATATAGCTTTTATAATCAGGTGCTACTAATCCAAAGTGAATATTTCAAAGGAAAATTCTTGTTTCTTTTTTTCACTATCTCAATTTAGGCAGCCAATGGGCTAATGTTGATCAAAATCTCATTGCAGGTTCTAACCTACACGAATGACCTTAACCTTTTACTTTTAATCAATTTTCAGAATCCTGTTGGTCCTGGGCGTTATGATGTGGATCGCTATGACAAAGCACAGCACAATAATGGACACAGAAGTGCTTTTAACTCTAAAACCAAGAGATACGACCTCATACGGGACAAATACTTAACGTTAGTATACTATGCAAACACATTTAGTACCCTTCCCTACTTCACTTTGATGATATCTCTACGTGTACAATGTTTTCAACTTCGACATGACAGCACAAATATTTGATCACTATTGGATGAGCTGTTGAACTTTGTAACCGCTCCTGTTATCTGTGTTGTTAGTGCTCTCTAGGTCTATGTTAGTTCACTTTACTCTATAGAGCTAAAAGCTCTAAAATTCCATTGTGATTTGGAATCTTTTTCAGTGCTACGTCAAAAAAATTTACGCCCAATTAATCTGCATATATTCATCATTCTCTATGTGTCGTGATACATGAACATGCCCCACATTTGCATACAGCCCTTTTCAATAGAGCTGTGAACCTAAATCGTAAGAAATCACTGCACCCAATCAGAGCAAAGGAAAATTATACAAGGAGCCAATGAGAATTCAAAAGCAAAACCGAACACACCTGCTGAAGTGTAAAGAGAATGCTAGGGAGTAAGAAGCGTTTGGTTTATTTCACATCTGATTGGTTGAGAGATTGGCAGGAGCTTTGTTGACCTATCACAGGGTGTAGTAAAGCAAAACCCCAACAAAGCCCACATTACTTGTAACACTTAATCAGAAATAACTCTGAATTCAATATTTCGTGACTGAAAGGAATCTTAATGTGAATCATATTTTGTTTCTTCAGGGAAAGGATCAAATCACGAGAGGTTGACAAGGTTTTCATGGTCCCTATTGATGCACAATAAAATTACCTATAGCAAGCATGTCAAACAATGGTACTTCAAAGATCGATTTGAAATTTCTCACCAATAAATCAAAGAAGAATTGAATGTATTTGGCAGCAAATAGCACATTTCTCAGTGCACCACTTTTTGTAAATCAAAAATTCAGCTTGTATGTTTGGGAGCACAAGTTTTGGATGTTTTATTCTGGGGAGAAGAACGATGGTCAGTCATTTTTTCCCTCCTAATGTGTGTTATATTTTTTTTACACAAATCAATTTCTACAAAGTGTTTTTATCCTAATAATATTTTGGTATTGGTTTCCATAAACATTTCTCATGAAACAATTTATCACACTGTAAATGATATAAAGGTATCACATGAATTTCGACATGTTAACAGTATGTCATCAGGAGTGCAGAATCTTCATTTAGTTTTCTTATGAAGCGTTCCTTATTATCAGCAAATGCATCAAATTGTAATGGAAGCTCTAAGCTTCAAGTGTAATGAATAAAGTCGTTTTCTTTTCTATATTTGGTATAGTTGTGTCAGAGTCAGGTGGGAAGTGCGCAGTGTGATAATGGGACAGAACAAAATCAGACTTAATTGCAATTTTTTGCCCATATTCATCTCATTTTCTGGTACCACAAGAAACTGATTCTTGAAGAAAAAATCTGAATGGCATGTGGAACCAACAAACTTAAGATAAAAAATAAACAAACAAAATTGAAAACAAGTTGCAAAGAGATTCTGCATAAAATTTTTCCACAAATGATAGTTGCTGTCAGAAGAAACTTTGAGACCCATCCCTTTACTGTATTTATGTCATTTCTACTCTTACAAGTATTTATTTCTCAGTCCAAGGTGGCACTGTTAACTTTCTGAATTCTATGATCAGGTTTCCTTCTTCCTTACCTTAAAAATGAGCTTAAATACTAAAGTTACTTGGTCTAAGAGCATTTCTTTCTTTGCTCTACTAATACAACAAGGATACAGTAGTTTCTATTATCTTTTTTTTCTGCACTTTTTTCCTATTTATTTCTATTTCCAGTTAGGAAAACCATAGTGTGTTAGGTAAGTCGTCAACACTAAAATGGATACATGTAAGTTGCTGCGAATTATCACTATAATGTTGTGGAAGCTATCTTTTGTTGTTTTTTTCTCATTTGAAATCTTTTGACACCTTTCCCTAGCTATCCCTACAGTTGTTGACCATAGATAGGATGACATGCTCATCAGGAGCGATTTGAGGAACAAAAATTAAGTGTTCTTTGGAAATTTGTTTTTCTTATAAGTATTTATTTCTCAGTCCAAGGTGGCACTGTTAACTTTCTGAATTCTATGATCAGGTTTCCTTCTTCCTAACCTAAAATGAGCTTAAATACTAAAAGTTACTTGGTCTCAGAGCATTTCTTTCTTTGCTGGACTGATACAACAAGGTTACAGTCGTTTCTATTATCTTTTTTTCTGCATTTTTTTCTATTTAATCACATTAGGAAAATCATAGTGTGTTCGGTAAATTGTCGACACCTAAATGGATAAATGTAAGTTGCTGCGAATTATCGCTATAATGTTGTGGAAGCTATCTTTGGTTGTTTTTTTTAATTTGAAATCTTTTGACACCTTTCCCTATCCCTACAATTGTTGACCACAGATAGGATGGCATGCTCATCAGGAGCAATTTGAGGAACAAAAATTAAGTCTTCTTTGGAAATTTGAAATCAAAAGCATCATTCCTTAGCAGTACAACAAGAACTCTATCAATCATATCTAATTACTAATCAGAATCCCTTTCGCACAACATTCATTTGTTTCTTGTTTCATACATCTGAACCTGATCCTCCTAAATTTGGTACACTAGCTGTTTTGGAAAGTGTCTAATCCAGCTAGGTTCTTTCCTTTACCTGGAAAAACAAATATATAGTTTATATCAAGGAGGTTATCTCTATAAGGGTAGCTGGTAAACGTCTCTTCACACACGGCTGAAATGCAGGCTTAATCTCGCCGAAAATTTAACACTTTGAAACCTTTATCACAGAAGGCTATTTAGAAAATGTATAACCCTGTCACTCTCACAAGTGACCAAGATAGAAATTCACCTTACAGTATCAATACAAAATCACACAGGTAGGTGATGAGAATAAAGAAAAACATCGATTATGGCATTATTAGTTGATCCAATAACAAATTCTCTGAACTAATATCATGAGAACTGTATGGCAGACAGTAAGGAGAACTACTTAAGAGATCTTGGGAATGAAAGGGATAAAAGAACTTGGCTTCATCTTTTTAATCCTCAGCCATATTTGCATACATGCCATAGACATTTAGTTACTAATGAGAGCTTCTCTATGGAATATTAAAACCAAACCTAAATATCATCATAGGATGAAATGAACAAGAACACTGCTGCTTTCCATAGGGTTGAATACCAGTAGAATAATCTAAGATCACCAAGCATAAATATGTGTTGTTTCTTTTAGTAAGGTACCGATTTTACTTTGGCAACGACTCAATCTATGCAGCAGTACAGCTAAGTGAGTACCACATGGTCAAGGAAATGTGGAATATGGACTACCAACCCAGCCAGCAGTATCAGGACTTCTAAGAACTTCATGAAAACACTACAAAAGAATTGGCACTTTTTTTGGTCCCTCATCTCATGCGCAAAATTTTGTCTTAAAAGAAAGGCTAACAAGACAGTTTACTAACCTTGCGTATGATCTTGTTACATCTGTTCCAAATTCTCAAAAGTGACGTCATCTCCAATAAGGACAAAGGGGGCCCAGTTACATGGGGACTGGAATTTTTCAGAGAGCCGAAGAGCAGTTGTGGCCTGGTGAACAGCTTCACTTGCCTTTTTACCAAGTTTTAAATGCTGGTAAAACTTGCGCATGAATTCCAGGGTAGCGTTGTCATCAACAGCCCACAGGGTGGCAAGAACTGACCTCGCTCCAGCACCAAGAAAAGCTCGAGCGATTCCAATGACACCTTCGGCTCGGATATCTCCAGTTGCACTGTGACAGCAGCTTAGAACAACAAGTTTAGCTCGCACCTTTGCATTCTGCACTTCGGCCATTGTAAGGACAACATCTTCTTCGTCAAGTACTGGCTTGCGTTTTTCTGGGGGCGGAGCGAATGCAATTTCACCAGTTAAAGAATTTCCGTGTGCAGCAATATGGACCAGGGCTGCCGTGTCAAGATTTTCAAGGAAACGTGCTTTTGTAGCTTCTTCTCCCAATATGGGTTTAACACCAAACAATCTAGCGATTTCTTGAGCTTCTTCGTTTGCATGCTCCAGTCTTGTGATGAATTCTGTAATCTTCTTTGCTTTAAAGGACACTAAGCCAACATCTGGATCCCCAACAATTACAGCTCCCTTTTGATTATGGAAGTTGGGCGGACACTCAAAAATTGCCTTCATAATTGTCAAGGATGGTAATAATCTTATTCGGTGCTGCGCCCCTAGGCTTTGGTTGTTTTCATTTCGAAGCGCTGCCCAAGGAATCCTATGAAGCTCAGCATCAGGAACAATAATGAGGTCTGTGGTTGCTTGGTCAGGTAACGTGCGAGAAAACAACACATCATAGAGTTTCTCCAATGCACTTGATCGATCTTTTTGAGTGATCCGCTTCGATGGAGGGTAACACAGCAGGTCGCCATCCGTTTTTTGCCCATCTTCATCGTTTTCTTGATTCTGAAGAGGACGTGTGTTTCCTCTCGATGGCAATGAGCGATCTTCACATTTCACAGGGTTTTCTTTAATTTTCATTTCTGAAAGCGCCTCGTCTAGCAGACTCTTCCAGTCGGTAGCCTCCCCCAAAAACTGAGGAGCACCATTTGCTTGAATACTCCATAATACAACATTTTCCTTTCCAGTTCCAGACAGAGCATAGTAGATTATCTGGCCTCCCAGACGAGACACAACTTCACGGAGGCTTCCTCCATTGAGTGCTTCTCTTTTTCCTTCCTTTGGATTATGAAGACCGTATGATACAACCATCATGTCAGCAAGCGCAGCAGAACGTGCTCGCTCGCTGACTAGTAGTGCTTCCTCGTACTTTTCTCGCTGAAGAAGACACTGCGTGTAGAGACGGTAAGCAGTAGCTTGCACGTTACTAAGAGAGATCTTGTATATGTCCTTCTCAAAGAGAAGTCGTCTTACTTCCGCATACAATTCAGTGCATTTTTCCAAGTGATCACAGGCCGTTTCAAACTCTTTAGACTTTGAATAAGAAATGCCAAGGTCATGATGACATGAACCCATCTTGTCTAAGCTTTTCATCTTCTCAGCAAAACATAAAGCTTTTTTCTGAAATTCAATGGCTTTGGAAAGTTCATCCAATTTCCAGTAAATCTTTCCAAGATTTAGGCATCCTGTCATCTCACCAGCTATTTCTCCTATGGAGTTAGAAATAGAGATTTGCTTTTCATTATGTTTTATCGCTTGCTTAAAATTTTCCATGCGGTAATTGACCATTCCAATGTTGCCATGAGCGGTTGCTTCTCCTTGCTTTTCTTCCAAGGTTTCACAGAGTGAGAGATGTTGCAAATGACACTGAAGCTCTTTTTGATAATCTCCTACTCGGTTGTAAACAGTTCCTAGATTTCCAAGCATCTGTCCCAACATGCGCTGGTCTCCAACCTCTTCAGCAAAGGGTACAGCTTCTTCGTATAACTTTACAGCCTCTGTATACATACCAAGGGCTTGAAAAGCATTTCCTAAATTGGCATATGAGGCACCTTGAAGTGGCTTATCTTTTATTGAAAGGGCAATACTGAGACTTTGCTGATAGCAATCAATCGCCTCGTTGTAATTACCAAATTCAAAATGAATGTTGCCCACCTTCTCAACCGATCTCCCTTCACCTCCTTTATTTTCTAGTTCCTTGTTTATTGCAAGATTGAATTGATGATGTTTCAAGGCCTTTTCTAGGTCTCCGAGAGAGTAGTATATGCTTCCCAGGTAGGCATTAGCAAGGCCTTCAGCTGCCTTGTCACCGATCAACTTTGAAATTTCCAAGAACTTGTTTTGCATGAAAATCGCTTTTTCAAAATTTCCTAGGGATCTGTGAGTGTTTCCGAGGAAACCATACGCAAAGCCCTCGGTGGCTTTATCGCCAATTTCTTGCGATAGCTGTAATAACTTTTCAAGATTTTTCTGTGATTCTCTGTTTTCTCCAAGGGAGTGTTGCGCTCTTCCAATTTTTCCAATGGCATTTGCTTGTGCTGGCTTGTTGTTGAGACTGTTTGCGATACGAAGGTAGGCTTCATAATTTTCAATTGCTTTTCTTGTGTCTCCTTGACAATGGTAAACATCACCAAGAGCCCCCAGGGCCCTTCCCTCGGTGAACTTGTCTCCGATTCCTCTCGAAATGTCTAACTGCTCTCGATAGAATGTAAACGCTTTTATGTAATCTCCCTTCGATAAATGAACATTACCGAGATTTCCAAGGGCTGCAGCCTGACTTTTCTTCCGATTGACTTCTCTTGCCAATGTTAAATGCTTCTCGCTGTGGAGAATGGATACTGGATAATGTCTTGTCTTGTAATACGCGGCTCCCAAACCTCCATTGGACTGGGCTATTGCTGCTTTATCGTCAAGATCGGTGGCAACTGTAAGACTTTCCGTTAAGAACTTGGTAGCGTTTGTGTAGTCACCAAGCTCTGTAAAAGTGGTGCCCATTTCATACAGGCATTTCCACCTTTTCTTCTGGTCATCAGTGGTAGAAATAGCGTCTAAGGATTTCTTGTGGGATTCAAGGCCTCTTTTCAAGTCTCCTAACTTTGAGTAGGCACTACCAACAAAGGAATTAGCTAATGCTTCAAGATCTTTCCGACCTACCTCTTCGGAAAGGGCAAGGCATTTCTGCGCGTAAGAAAGAGATTCGTCAAAACTATCCATAGAGAGCAAAACTTCAGCAAGGTTGCCGCAAATTTCGGCCTCTGAATCTTTGTTCGATGCCTCTTGCGCTAAGAGTAACGCTTGTTTCAACATTTCCGCCGCCTGCTCGTAATTACTAAAATGCTCTCCGCTGTTCTGAATCTCTCGGGCTTGGGAAAGAAGATTTAAAATCTGACCTTGCTTTACTGACGATTCGTTCAGACGTCTTTGGGAACTGTGATCATCACTTCCATTTCCTTCCATGGTGGTATCTGAAACGGTAAATGTGAGAGCTATACTCATCTGCATAAAACGTATTTTGATATCCAGTTCTTTCCATTGGATGGCATTCCATCCGGTCTTTTACAATTCAAGCCTCCGTGATTGGAAATCACGCCAGAATTTCTTAAGGTGTAAATAGCAAAAAGTGTGCTGAGGAAGAAAGGATAAACTCTCTCAAGAGACAACCAGCAGGTATCTTAGAAACTTAGATTTAACCGTTCATTTTAAAACGAACGCAGTGTTTCTTTAAAGAAAAAACCACGGAAGTATTTTATACCTCTAAGAAGCTTTTATTTTAACGTACGTCTTTGTTTCATTAACAGCCGACTTTTGTCAGACCATCACAGTTTGTTTTTGCTTATTTGTATAAACCAACTGAGGGAAATGTAATTTAAAACCAGACTTCGCTCATGCACCTTTATTAGGAATCTCGCAAGGTTTGTCTTCTACTTGTTAATTCCTTCTCCTTTCCCTTCCATGTTATTTTGAAACCTTAGCTTTTCATTAGTGAAGGATAATAAGGATAGAAAGTGCAGAGAAAGTATTTTATCTATGGTGACTGCCTTTTGGTCGACGATCTTTCGTACATTTATTTGTTATTTGTATTCTCCGTCTTACTTTCCAAATCTGGTTCATTTTTTTTGACAGTGATGCGCTCTCTCGGCCTTAATAGCACTTGGCATAAGCTTCAAGAACACCTATCCGTAGTTTCTAGTGGACTACTCGTTTTACCTTCTCAGTCATCGTTTTCTTCCGCACTTAGAGCTCGTTTTAACTTGAAAAGATTCCGTGTAACAGCGGCCATGACCTCGATCGAAAGGTAAACAGTCGAAACAAGCGAGTGGTAATGAATAGTCGGACGAATTGACGTCATATCTAAGTTAATTAGCTACTCAAAATGGCGGCGCGCTTTGACTACTTTGAAGTGGATTTTCATTTGGATCACAGCAATTTTTGATGCTAAAAAAACGGTAGCTAACGCGGCTTAGTGTAAACTATTTATTGGTGGTTACAAAAGATATTCAATTTTAAGAGTGACCCTGTCCTTTAACAAACAAATGTTTTTCCTTCGCAAGCATATCAAAGGTAACCTTCACAAAAATAATTCTCACACAAATCGCAAACTGGTGACCTCTCGGCTATTAAAGCAAAGAGAATTTCTATAAATTGGAGGACGTTAATGTCAGTTTACCACTTGTTATTACCTAAGCAATCAGGGGCCCATAAAAACCGAAAATGAATATTTATAATAATCAATTTAATGACGTTTCGTCAGTCGATGCCAGAGGAAAGGCCCCTAAGGTAATTAAGAAAACTATCACTCATATTCGAAGTTATATTAGAAATCCTGCCTCCCTGAAAATATATACCCTCTCGTTTACTTTTTTTGAGAGATTTATACTGAAGACTTTGAAAAATCACTAATAGCAAAACATGCTATGCGACTGCCTTCGCTGGCGATGGCGGGTTTAATTTACAGTTGACTGAGGTTCAAACTCTTTAAAGGTTTTTTTTTTCTTAAAAGTTTAAGAGAATAAAAATGAATTATAGGATTATATTTTGCTTTTTTGTCGCAGATGGAACATGAACAGATGTTGATGTTGTTGAACGAATAGTTGCAACACTATCACTTCCGGCTTTCAACAGCTCACTATCCATGCAGCGTGAAAAGGAACGAGATTTAAACGTATTTTTCGTTTCATCTGGAACCCGGGAAAAGTGAATCAATTTATTCCTTACTCAGTACTGCTTCTATGAGAGGGTCAATTGTAATTTACCCACGAAATGACTTTCTATTTTCAACTACGTATCTATTCCAAAGAAAAAGGGAACGCACTGCTTCGCTTTCGAATAACCCGCACAATGGGCTTAACAAACAAACAAAAAGTATCGCCTTTCCTCTACTTGCGCTACAGTTTTTCTTTTTCATTGAGTACGTATACAGGTGGAGGCAGTAAAACTGACTTACCCCTGCGATTTGTCTCTTAAAGCGTATGGTACACTTTACCAGCTTTAAAATAGGTGATACGGGTCTGTCTCGGCTTATTTTCCTTTATCATTAGCTTCCAGTCTCTCCCGGTTGATGGCCTTGACCAGGTGACGTTATATGCATAACTAATCGGGGGTATTTAGCATATGGTCACGAAATTTCTGCGAAATGACGGAAGAGGCTTTCTTGCGAGTAACTTGAAATCTTAGCAATTAATCTGTTAAAAGACGTTAATTTCTGACTCTTAAAGTCCTATTGTCTAATTAATCGTGGTCAGATTCCTCAACCAGTTGAGTAAGTTCAGTGGTTCCCTAATACCAAAGTGTTCGTTCAATGACGTACAGAACAGTATAAACGTGCTATACCATTTTCTCTTAACTCTTTACACCCTAAGATCAGTATGTATATTCTCCATACTGTTTTCTATAAATTTCCTTAGGTGCTGACAAGGAGATTTTGCTTAACAATCAAAGGCTCCCGTACTTGTTGGTCATTTCCATTATTCTTGTGATCTTAATGATTGATTCATTGATGATTCTGTAAGGAGAAATTAGATGCTGGTCACTCATTATTCTTCTGATCTTAATGATTGATTCAGTGATGATTCTGTAAGGAGAAATTAGATGCTGGTCACTCATTATTCTTCTGATCTTAATGAATGATTCATTGAATATTCTGTAAGGAGAAATTAGATGCTGGTCACTCATTATTCTTGTGATCTTAATGATTGATTCATTGATGATTCTGTAGGGAGAAATTAGATGCTGGTCACTCATTATTCTTGTGATCTTAATGATTGATTCATTGATGATTCTGTAGGGAGAAATTAGATGCTGGTCACTCTTACGGGTTTAAGGGTTAAACCGAATCGAGCACTCTTTCATACAATAGACATGCATACTTTACTTGTCCGATATCGACATTCAAAGCAAATGAGAAAACATATCTACGATTTTAAAACCGGAAGTTCTCCCATCTCCCCTCCTAGCCTCAAGGGTGTGAAAGGTAAATATCCCCAACCCCCCTTCATACTTAGATCAAAATTGTGGACGGGGAAATACCTACAGAATGGAGTCTGTTTTGCTGTGGCTCAGAAAACTCATTAGCAGTTTATATTACGCGCTACAAGCTCCGAAAAGTGTCGTAGGTATTGATGCAAAGGTTTTCATCCATCTCATAAGCTTCATTCGAATACGATTTCTGAGAATCGAAACCAAAAAAATAACAGAAGGTTATATTACCGGAAATCGTTCAGACAGAGACACGAGATTACTTTTGATTTGGGAAAATTACCATAACAATGCGCTCGAGAGTAGTTTTTAGTTTTGCTTTCAGGTCGTATACCCTGTGTTCATTAAAAACTAATGTTGACTTTTTGCCCAGCTTTAAATTTCGTTGGTGAGAGTTTCAGTTGAAATGGTCTGCGGGCTTAATCGATGTCACGGGCGCGACTGACCCTTTTGTTCGACTTCGCGTAACTCAACTGACATGACGTATTTAAATATAGTTTACGTTTCTCAGAAAAGAACAGGAAAAAATATGTTTACTAACTGGGAGTAGAAAGCAACTTTGTCCGCCTTGACCAATAAGAAGGCAGAGCAAATGCTCTTTGACCAATATTGAGAGTAGGGTAATCCCCTAACCTGATATCCACATTGAAAGTGAAATTTGACTCTTGGAGGCTCGGTTATTTTAACTGATGCACACTTTACTACTTGCATTCAAACAGTATACTACGCACTTATTGAGAGAGCACGCAACAATCGACTGTGAGACGATTTGTGAAACGTTCGCTGGAGGGCTTAAGCAAAGGTAACAAAACATTAATTCAGTCTCGAAATAAATCATAATTATTCATTCCGGCTGTTGTAATTTACACGAGGTTTACTGTCACGGTACTTTGATTTCTCAGTGCAAAATCATGCGTCAGTCGGCGAGGTTTTGAACGTTTTGGCTCTATTTGAAAAGTTCCTTTCTGGCCGATTACTGTGTAATGAGCTATCTAAGTATCACGTTTTCTGAAACTTGTATTTCTAGTCTTCAAGTCTTACATTACGTTGGCTAAATTTCATCAACCCAAGTGAAATGGAGGTCACACGCAGACTGTGACAGACAAATAGCTCCGTAGTTTGAATAGCGAAAATTTGATGCGAAATCAGTTCAAATGATAACACATTGAAGCTGTGCAGCAATTTTTAATCTAACTTAACTACCAAGTAAAGCACTTGAACATCTACATTGCAAACTAAGCTCTTGAATGTATTGTAATTCCATAACCTCATACAAAGCGCAGACAATCTAATAGTACAATATGATTTATGATTAACATGATAACATCTAACCGGTGAAAAGTGAGAGACTGCCATATAGATTTGTTGGAGCTCTCAAACGATTTAAGATTTCGAAAGAGCATCGTTTGGAATGCTTGTCATGATCCGCATAGCAATTTTGACCACACGCCCAAATAACTTTATGATAATCAGTCAACCTTGCCCATTTTCCGAGAAGCACCGCCAAAGGTCATTTGCAGATTTTTTGCAAGGATATTGACTCGTATCGTGGAATGAATAAAAAAACGACGTCTCAATCAGAGGTTGAACGGTTATGTTGTTCATGGATCACTTTTATTCCTCAGGCTGGAAGTCGAAACTGTTTAATGTTTTTATTCAACTTATTTCCACCAGAGCCCCTAAAGCAGAATATGGACTTCTCTGAGACCCAGGAACGAGAGGAAAATCATTTTGTCCAAGATGAGGATGAAATCGGTAAGGCTCTTTTCTCGCCTGTTTACGCTGCATGACTCGTTAGTCACTGTAAAAGTAGTGTCAATGATAGTCTGACAAAGGCAATGCTGCGATTGTCGACAGCTAAGAGAAGGCATCGAAGGAAACAAGTGCAACGAGGACTGGAATTCGTCTTTCTATGTTATGAAAATAAATTTTAGAGGTCACAGGAATTAGTATTTTGTCCTTTCCACTCTGGCAATGACCTTTGAGCAATAATTGGGATTGGCCAGGGATTCCCGAATATAGCGTTATTGCAATCATCATAAAAAAAGTAAACGCTTAACATGAAAAGCCACAAAAATGTTTAACTCACAGTAGTCCGTGTGATCCACAGATATAAAATGTTTGCTGAAAGAAGGAGAACCGACAGAAGGAGACATTGACTGGATAGTCAGAGAAATAAGTAGCAATCCTGATGAAAAGAAGAAGTTATTTGAGTTATTGAGAGTAAACGATGATGATCCAGGATACAATAGTGGGGAATCCATAGACAACGCTAAAGATTTCACTGATGGAATGACCATACCCAGGCATCTACTGAAGAACCAAACTTATGAAGAACTGGCTGCACTGTTGGGCGAATCACCCCTGAACAGGCGGGATCTGGCGGTTAAAACTTGCTGCATACAGAAAGGTGAGTGCAACACACGTCTTGCTTTTCAATTTTCTTCGCTGCAATTTGACTTCAGAGAAAATCAAGCGAGTATCTTATTCAAGAACTAAAGCAAATTTTCAGCAACATCGTTGAACACTACTGAGCTAATAAGTAACACACCTTAATTTCCCGTCCATAGATCTGCTTCCCACCTACATTTTGGCAAGAGGCAACCAAGCCGTAACAGCTTACCGAGGAGCTTTGACATCAGGTGAAACACTTGACAACCGAGTCAAGGTAATATTGATTGGTGAAGGTCAAGTTGGAAAAACAAGTGTTGCAAAAGCACTGAGAGGCGAAAAGTTTGAAGAGAACGAGCGCAGTGTGAATGGCATACTTATGAGCGAGGTTATCAAAAATGCTACTCATGATAAACCCTGGAGGAACTCAGCCACTCGTGAAAACGCTCGATCAGGTTTGTTTCATTTCATCATCGTAAAATAATATAAAAAAACTGGAGATACGATAATTTAACGCATAGCACGCAATTTTCAGGAAAAATTGAATAGAGCCTTAATGATAATTTAAGGAGAACTCTTTACAACTTTGTTTAGAAGCAGTGACGAGTGCACAATGACTTTATCCGTTCTTGTTAAGAAATTCGTTCGTTTTCTTTTTTACTGAAGTGTCCTCTCAAACTAATGGAATCGACGCAATTGAGGGTATCTCACTGGAAGATGAGGTCGATGGCGCTCGAAGTAATTCCCCTGAAATAGAACTAGTAGTATGGGAATTATCTGGCCAAGGTGCCTATCGTGCCATACATCCTATGTTCATGACCCCAGACGCAGTGTACGTCCTGGTGTTTGATTTGTCAAAAGGACTGTTTGACCAGGCAACGGCAAAAGACAACGAGAACGGGTCAGCAACGAATTCAGAGAACGGAGATTCCAATCTTGACTGTATTATGAGGTGGATGGACATATTGAATTCCATGAGATATTCTGCAGCTGATGAAATTCTTCCTCCTGTCTTACTTGTGGGTACTCATGCGGACTGTGTTAATGGAAACCCTAGGAGTATCATGGATACACTTTTGGACAGATTCCGCAAAATTGAGCTGGGCGATCAGATCAAAGGAAACTTCGTCTTGGACAACACACTCAATGTACCTGGCCAAGAAGACCCACAAGTTGCCAAATTGCGTCGGCGAATATTAGATGAAGCCAACAAGCTGCCGCATGCTATGAAGAAGATTCCCCAAAAATGGTTTGACATAGAAAGAAAGATCCAAAAAGAAGCAAAGGGGGGAATTAAGTACTACACTACCAAAGAGGTCTTCACGAAGAAAGTTTGCCAAACTCAAGATTTGAATGAAATTGACCAGATCTTGCTCTTCCTTTGCGATCGTCGGTCGATAATCTATCACGAGAATGCTTCTAAACAAGATGGCTTGGTGGTACTGGATCCACAGTGGCTCGTAGGTAGACTGTGCAAGCTATTAAGTTTGCCACCGGAAGAAGAGGATAAGATAGAATTTCTAAACTTACGGAAGGAGCTTCGAGAGACAGGAATCCTACACCAAAAACTTTTACATCGCACCTGTACAGAGTGGGAAGTAAAAGATATTGAGGAAGCATTGGTTTCTCTCATGCAACATTACAATCTTCTTTTCCACTGTCCAAGGAAGGAAAAGAACCCCATTTACCTCGTTCCATGCATGATTAAAAGAGCGACGGGAGAAAATGAAGTCATCCCGAGTAAGAATGGCTCTTCAACGTCACCACCGATTTATCTAATCTTTGGAACCAAGTTCGTACCGATTGGCTTGTTCTCCAGATTGGCTATGCTTATCGGAGCATGGGCTGCGAAGAAAAGTTCCTTTGAGCAGCTGCAAATAAACGCCGACACAGCATGCTTCATCTTAGATGGCGTGAACTTCTTGGAGTTGAAGTGTCTCAAAAGTGTCATACAGGTGCAAGTTTGGTCTGAAGACAGCACACAATACAGTGATCCAGGACTTTACTCAGAGATTTATTGGTAAGACTGCTTTCCCATTTGCTTTCTCAGTTTCAACTCATATGAACGCCATTCTCCTTACAAGTTGAGCTAGGCTAACAATTATTTCATTGATCATTTACATTCACTAATACCCCTTTCCTGGTCTAGTATCCTTGACATCATTCCCGCCTATTTTGAGGTCTTAAGCTACACCTAAAAATAATTTTTTGTGCATTGATTGATACTTAAATGTATAATTCAAAATTTTTATAAAATGGTTTTTTCAGTTGTTTGGAAAGGAGTTTGAAAGCGGTGTGTGCAACTTGTCACTGGTTACATTCTGTTTCCTGGGATCTCAGTGTGCAATGCAGACTTTGCGCAGGAATGGTCAACTTAAAGACCCGAAAATGTATCTGGCACGACAAGAGAAATTGTCATCACGAAGACTGCGCCCACTATATTCCCTTGAAAAGGCACATTGCCTTATTTTGCCAACAGGCCAGGAAGCGTCTCCCTGAGGAAAAATTTGAGAGATGGGTCCAGGTAGCTCATTGTTTTTATATACCATACAAGAAAGCATAATTTCTTTGTTGTAACGAGAAAGACCTTCGTGAAGCGATTTAAGTGCGAAGATTTTAACGCCCGACATAGGACCGTTCTTCGGATTTAAAAAATGGGATTTTCGTACATGTAACGCTCTCTTACAACATCCATATGACAAAAGTGAAATTCACTAAAAATTTACCGGAGGCCTAATTGATTTCAATTGGCCGACGAATTGCAGGTAGATAGATAGAAGCATTTGTTGGTAACTAACTGGAATTGCTTTCTTTTTTTTTAGGCTTCGGGGAAAAATAACAGTCAGGAGGAAACAGGTTTATTTTGTTTTGTTTTCACTTTTGTGTACCATCATACATCTTAAACTCTTATTTCCCCTTAAGTTTCATCAGGTAGAATATTACATTAAATATTTGAATTACTGGCTCTTTGGATGGAGGAAAATCAGAGAAGCATATGAGCCAATACCAGCAGACCGAGATCTTCATTCCATTATCTATACCATTTAAGAAACTAGAAAGGTTAAATCATGCAGGGATGATCAACAGTCGATTCAATACCATTCTGATAGATCTATGTTGCTTAGTGTCCAACTAGAAGGAATCTTTACACGCATGCTAGCTAGCAATTTATTTCTTTTTAAATTTTTTTTTATCTTCTAATTGACCATCCATCTACGATCTTAGGAAAAGAGAATATAGCCTCAACCAATGAAATTACTGTTCTGCTGTTAGCTGAGGAGTGGGGCTCCGGCAAAGGCGGCCTCTCAACAATCAATAGGCAACTGGCAATCGAGCTTGCAAGATACTCCAATCTGAGAATCTACTTCTACGTTATCAAATCCAACGAAGAAGATAAGCAAATGGCCAAGAGTAGTAACATCAACATTATAAAAGCCAAGAAACGACCTGGTTATAATAATGGTTTTGAGCGGCTATCGTTCCCTCCGGAGGAATTGCCACTGATTGACGTGGTTGTTGGGCATGGAGTGAAGCTGGGAAAGCAGGCACAGCTGATTAAAGTGAAACATCCAAGATGTGTCTGGGTTCAGTTTGAGCATACCGCTCCGGAGGAACTTGGCACCTACAAGAATTATGAAGGCAAAATCGCAAGAGGGGAAAGTAAGCACCGCGATGAGGTAGATCTCGCCAAACGCGCTGATGTTGTGGCTGCAATTGGTCCCAAACTAACAGAGTATTACAAGACCTCACTGCGTCCTGATAAAGGCGGACCGGAGAAGGTTTTCGAAATGATACCGGATCCAAGTATGTTCCATGAATTTCGCTCGTGCAAGCAGGTCAAGGAAGACAGAGAAAACTTCAACGTTTTGATATTTGGTCGTGGTGACTCGGAAGATTTCAAGCTTAAAGGATTTGACATAGCCGCAAGAGCAGTTGCAGAACTTAACGATGAGAAGTACCACCTCTATGCTGTTGGCGCACCACATGGACAACAGGAAGATGTTGAAAAGAAGTTACTTCAGTGTGACATCTCTCGTCGTCAGTTGACAGTTCGTGGTTTTATCGAATGTAGAGATGAAGTCGCTCAGTTGCTGTGCGAGGTGGATCTTGCCATCATGCCGTCAAGAACAGAAGGCTTTGGATTGACAGCTCTAGAAGCCTTAGCCGCAGGTCTACCGATTCTGATCGGAAAAAATTCAGGTTTTGCCAAAGCTCTTCAAAAGATAAACGAATCAGCTTGTATCGTGAATTCCGAAGACAGCAAGGAATGGGCGAACGCGATTCGATTTATCAAGGAGAAACCGAGATCAGAGCGATTACAGGAAGCCAAGAGGTTAAAAGAGAGGTGCGAAAGTGAATTTGCCTGGTCAGGGCGGTGTCAAGCTCTTACGGAGAAAATTCTTCTTCTTGTTGGTAAGTAGTATATAATTGTTGCAGGTTCAATAAATATTTACATTTTCTGAACCACAATGCACATCTTATCTACTTCTCAGGGTTTTAATGACTGTTTGTTTCGGTCCGTCTTAACATCTGTCTTGCCAACATTCTCAAATTATTCTTCCCTGGCGACAACCCGTTTTTGTCTGAAAAACTTGTAAAGCAGCCCGGTGACGTAGTACCATTATTTTCAACTCAAACAGTTACATTCTAACTGGAATGCCCTTAAGTTATGGAGTAAAGAAAGAAAATGAACTAATAGGGAGAACATCCTCCCGCATCCGATGATACCTCCTTGACATCAAACCTTGTACCTCTTTAGAGAAGAAAAGTCACAATAAAGATATGAAAGGTGAACAAAGGTGTGAAGTAGCAGCAGTGCCAGAGGGGCAGGAAGAAGACGAGACACAAAACCAGTCACAAACAACACGAAGACCCAACGCTGTTGAGGAACAAGAGCCGACAGGTTTTGACGGTATGCAAGAAACATCACATGAGAGAAAGAACTGGAAACTAGTTTCTCTTATCGTTCATTTTATATGATTCTTTTCCAAATGAAACGACATTGCAAGTGTCTGAAGCGGCGCATGATTCAGGACCGTAGATGCACGAGTGACGCGAGACATTTCCCTCCCAAACTTTATGGTGATGTGCACATATCTTAATAATCTTTACCCTTGTTTGGACCTAATGAAAAAGCCAGTTTAATCCGGATCGTAAGGGCAAAACAGAATTTGACCCATTACTCTAGCATGAACTATCAAAATAAGTTGGCTCCAAATTTATATTGAATTCTCTGGACCAAAAGAAGGATGCCAAATAGAGTCTCTCATCGCCTCAAGCATTTTAAAATACTTATTGCATTCTGTTAAATTACAGAGGGTTATAGCAGCTCCAGAGACAGAACCAACTCAACTGAATTTTCATCCGGGCACGAGGAGACCAGCAATTCTCCGAATGCAGTGTTGAACGTTAGAAGAAACTTTCACGCAGATACCGAAGATACGCGACTCAACGAGCAGGTACGGTTGAAAAGAGTAATTGCAGTATTCAAATAACAAAGCCCCGTTTTCCCGTTGGCAAGCATGCTCAGGAACCTTTGTTATGGTTTGTTTCGTTTGATCTGCATTTCTCTATAATAGTTTAGGTATAAAATGAGGAATAAAACTTGACTCCACTGACCTACCTCGAAACAACTGCACGCAAAATTTGTTAAGATGAGTCGTACAGAATGAGTCATAGTAACATGTTTTCTTTTTTTGTTTAATAGCAAAACGGTTCCCAGCTGGAACGAGATGAAAATCAGGAGACGGGTACATCCCAAAAAGAGTATGTGGTGAAAAGTTATTTTCTCAGAAAGTTAACAAAATGTTGTTAAACGAATTTTAAATTACACAACTCAAGTAGCCACCCCTTTAATTTCAGACAGAATGTAGGAGTAAGATTAAGGGAAATTGTTGTAGCGCGAAAAAGTAGACCGTATGCTGCCAATACTCACGCTCTATTGAAGTCGTTCGGTCCAGTGAGACAATTTTTAAATGAGAATGCTCACCCTGTTCAATCAGTACTCAAGACCCCAAAAACCTGACTTAGTAAGGCTGTGCTCTCCAATCAAGGGGGCCAGGCAAAGTACCTAAAATGTTACACTAGAAATACTGGCTTCAGTCCTTTTTGACATTTTCCAAAGTATAAAATTTGAACCAAACGTTAAATGTCGTGCCAAATGTGAATTTGTTGTACCAAAGGTTAAAATGTCTTGTTCTTCAGCAGTTCAACTCAAGGACCACGGCAAAGGAAAAATCTTCTGAGTCAAAAGGATTGCGACGGAGAGATGACGAAAGAGATGACGTTTTCAAGTATCAAGGACCTGCAGTGTTGGAGAACAAGGAGTTGCTTGATACTAGTTATATTAGCAATGTTAATAGTAACAGCATTATGCTTTCAAAAGTAGAGTTTTATGAAGGATTACTGGAGTGCGCCTCTGTTGACGCTTCCCTCTAATCTAGATAACTTACAATAAGCTCATTTGGGCGTTAATAAGTATTTCCGTATCGAAGTATCCATTTATCAACCCATTACATTAGTAATCATATTCTCCGCACTGTTCTCTTTACATTTCCCATGGAACTGACAAGGAGAATTGGTTTGAAAATCAGGAGTTTTGTGAGTTTGTGATCGTTTCCTTCATTTTCATGACCTTCATATAGATTCAAGAGTGACATTGTGAGGAGAATGAGAAGCCAGTTACTTTTAGGGGTATAGGGGTAATGTAACGTTTCATCAGGTGTTCCAAATCAAGTGCTCGTATGATCATAACAGTGAAAATCACACCTTGCGAGCTTCTCTATAAATTTCAGGAGAGTTTTAACTAAATTTCCCTTTTATATTCAAGATCTCTACATAAATTCTCCATACTACCTTTCTCTTTGAATTTATTTTGTCGCCCGTCCTTAACAACATTGACACGCATGAGGGTTGGGGGGGAGTTCCTTACTGGGTCAAATTATCGACGTGTTAACCATAATCATCGTAAACATTAAAATAAATAAAGGGGCACCAAAGTTAATTCCTTTTCCATTCTCAGAGAATGAAGTCGTGACTTAAAAGTATGATGTCAATTATTTCTATCTTTAAGTAAAACATTACTGGGAAAAGTCGATGACTGATGTTTGGCTTTAAAGGTCAGTTTGGAAGAACAGTACTCATAGTAACATTCATTTTTTATAATAAGAACTATACATTGTTCTCCTGTGACCCACCCATTCATATCCATGACATATAACTTTTTAAGAGCCGTGGCAAATACTTGAAGGAGACAAACAAGCGAACCGTTTAAATTTTATTCCTTTTTTTTAAAAGCATTAGAGTTTACATCCTGCAGCAGCACTTTTACAAAAACACTTGTCTGTCCTTAAAAAAACTGATTTTTAGTTGGGTGACTGATTTTTCATCAACCTATAGCTCTCTATCCCTTTCCGCATCCGCGGTGAGACAGTTGTAATGGGAAGGTTACCCCTAGATTTAACTTGATTATGTCTGCTCCAGATAAGTTGAACTTATTGTAAGTGTCTACTAACGTTCTTAATAAAGACAAAAGTAGCTCATGCAATTCTGCAGATTTTTTTTTACTTTTAAGCAAAGCGATTTTATTCTTAAGACAACATGGTTCTCGAAAAAAACTTCAGAGAAAAGACGACCACAAAAAGTTTCTTTTCCCCCCCAAAGATCTTAGGTTACACCAGAACGTTCAGGGATTGGACATCATGTATCCCTCTTAAATGTTTTAAAACGTTAATGTTCATATTTAGATCTGTTAAATTGCAGTCATCTTAAAGAATAAATCTTTGTTAAGGGATTAAAATTAAAACTACAGTACCAAAAAAGAAGAGATAAAAAAAAAAAAAAGGAACGTAGAACCACATTTATTTAGTAGTTCCTGCTTTAATCCTTTTCCTTTTCCTTCTTGGGATAGACGATTGGCTCAAAGGTTTGTTGTGGATGGTATAGCACCCTGATCTCCCGCTTCAAAGTAATCCACTTCACGTCGCCATCCAAAATGTCCCGGTTAACTGGCTCGGACTCCAAAGCTTCTCGAAACCTGGCGACGGTGTCAAGTCGTAATCCCTGTTTTAAACAACACAGAAAAAGTAAAAAAGATACACTTACGTTGTGTAACTAGGTGAACAGGGGTTCGTTACCTTTCGCTGACCACGGGTCAATTTTCACTGGCTTCGATTGGTAAAAACTCACACCAGACCAAGCCGGTGCATGTCACACCTACAACCTCATAAGATAAGTGTATCTTAATGGAATACTCAAACAAATAATAAACCTTCGATTTCAGAATTTTGATTTCCTAAAGCTACAAGAAACATTTTGATATCCCTGTACCTAACTTTTCACTGACATGCACATGTTGTGAATGTTCCCCTACATTTATTATACTTCCTTAACTGTTCCATTCACCTCGAAATTACACAAAATCAAGACTATTTTCCCTTCCTTTTTTTCTCGTTACCCTTAAGAGATTTTTAACACCAAAATGATTCATAGTCAATTTGACAACTGTGACAGATAAGTTCTAGTGTGTGACTAGCTATCTGCATGAGGTAAGTTGTGGGATCGCATAGATCCAAATGACCAATCAGAACAAAAGTAATATTACAAAGGGCTAATGAGAATCCAAAGTAGAAACAAGCACAACGCTTAAAGCGCGGGGAAACAGGAGTAGCCATTGTCACACTTGGTCGCATTTGATCAAAATAGCACGTTGAAATTGCGCACTATAAGTATGAACATATTTTATCATATAAACTACGGTGTTATACAAGGATTTCCAGCCTTGAGAAAAGCCGTAACAACGTTTGATATCGCCAATCAGCTGCTGACACGTCACTCGCCTCTCGCGCCACTCGGTCAGGTTAATAAATGAACGGCGAAGCCTTTACCATTCTCAATCCAAGGTCGCTTGCCAAAATTTTTTCGGATTATGGTTGCTAAAACACTGAAAAATCCGTATCGCTTACAGACAGTGACGTTCAAACTTTCCCAGAAGCTGAAGAAAACCAAAATTCGGAAAGAAAAACCGTGAGTTACGTATCAGTGGCTTTGGTAATGGCATTTCTCGCGGCTGAGAATGAAAATCGACAACTAGAAGATTTGTTACAGGCCGATTTTTGCTGTGTACCTAAAAAATATCTTCTGTTGGTAAGGACTAAGTCAATAACTGAGAATTTTGTGTATCGAAAATTACGCCCATTCTTTGTTTTAATAGTGTTTCAACGTATTTTTCATCTTGAGCCTTAGCGCCAACGCACTTTGCGATTTTTATTCGGGGATTGTCGATAATTTTATTTTCATTCATTAATTAATAAAGTTGACATTTCTTGTCAGTAAAGGACTATTGTGTTTAACAAAATAATGGTTGCTTGTGGATATGAAATTTCTCTTCGAGTGTTTAACTCGATAGCTCACGAGTGAGCGCGGCGAACGGGTTAGCTATCGAGTCTTCAAGACTGTCTATAATCACAGATCATAGCAAAGAAACTCCAATGAAACCCCAAATTGTTTTCGACACTCAAAACGTTCTAATAATAATTTGTACATTCATAAATGGACTTAATTTATACAAAGAAAAGTGATACATACATCGGGTGTGTCAATCCCTCTAGTGCTTAAATAAGGACTGAGCTCTAAAGGAGTCTGGAACAGAGGCTGATAATCAACCTCGGCATTTGTAGCATACAACACAATGATGTCATTACAACCGTCAGGTCTTGTTAATTCAACGTTGGGCTCCCCCATGAGACGGACTGTCTCAGGCTGGATAAAGACGCGCCTGATCTCTGATATTGAGTCACCAGGATTAAGCACACCGCTGATACCCTACAGAGTGGATGAATACAAACAGCATTCAGTTTTCAGAGCTCTACGGTATTTGATTGTCAGTGTATAAAATTTATCAGTTAAAACATACCTTGGATGTTATAAAAGGGGGTAAGTTTCTAAAGAAACTGTGGTGCTGCGTCGGTGGGAGAGTATAACATGGTAATTTAGTATGATCAACTAAGTTGACAACGTAATTAAATTGGCCACCGCTAAGAGTTTCAAAGCTGACGTTTCGAGCATTAGCCCTTCGTCAGAACGTTAGCCCTTCGCTTTGACGGATGGCTGACGCTCGAAAGATCAGCTTCTGTTTGAAACTCTTGAAGGTGGCCAAGTTACGTCATCAACTCATTTGATAGACCCAAGTTACCTTGGGTGGTATAGTTTCGATGCACTAGGACAAACTACTATTTGCATTAATAATTATTAGAGGTAAAACGCTTCCAACTGTGATAATAATATGATTTTCAAAGTACGAATGTCTTAAAAGGCGTATGTGCTTCATAAACCCTTTCCGATAACTTGCCATCTAAAAAAAAACGCTAAACTAATCATTCGTTTTGACACTGGCATTAGCAGTTGCTTCATGAAATTTCTTTAGGTTCGAATAGTTATTGTATCAACTGACGAGGTCGTAAAAGAAAAAAATACAAGTGGTTTTATAAATCGCGATATTACTTTGGTGTGTTGAAAGTAAATGAAAATCAGGATTCCCCTGAGTAGGGCGATGTCTTTTCAAAACAAACGAAAAAAATGTTCGTCTTGAAGATGTAAAAACCTTTTTCCGGTAAAGCAATGCACAATGCCCGATAATAAAACAAAACCAAAAAAAATGACTTGCCCTGTTCGCTGTTGGATATAAGACCAAAATGGAGCCATCTGACTGGTAGGAAACCAAACAAATATGAACTGGGAGGTGCCCATTATTGGTGATCTGAAAAACAACCCCGTCCCCTGAAGAATCGTCAACCTGGTACTTTAAACGATTAAACGTGTGGGGTGCAACCTCGACTCTGTGGGCTTGAAAAGTTGGAACATAATTCTCTGGTTTCCCTACAACAAAGAAATATACAGGAAAAAAATGGTGAGGAAACATTTTCAGCAAAGGTACGCACTGGTGCCAGGGAGTCTATTGAAAAAGTTTAAATATCAAAAGATGTTCCTACCCATGACCATAAAGTTACAGGGGAGAAAATAAAGGGAAAGTTTTCATGATAAAATCCCCCCCCCCCATGCCGGGGAGTTAATAGGTATATCATAAAGGCTTTTGTTGCAGTTATTCCTCAAAATGATGAAAAAAGAAAGTTTTAAACTTTCCTTGAATGTTCCCTTCTAACACCCCACCCTATTTATACGGCATTACCTTCATAAATCTCCTTGGTTTTAACAGCCTGAGCTTTCAACAGCGTCTTCCTATCCATATCGCTCTTGTAGGGAGGCACGTTCTCCACTTTGAACATCTTGAGGCTAACATTCCTCAGCATGTTGTTATCGGGTTCCCTGAGCCGAATTCCAAACTTGACACGAAAATACTTGCAAAGATTTTTTATCATGAGGTGACCATCCCTAGTACGTTGATCCGGTACAATCATCTTACCATAGTAAATGGCACGCCAACATCTTTGTCTGAAATTCAAATGTCTCACTTAAGATTTGCTCATGGAAGTCTTTAGCCCTTTAACTCCCATGAGTGACCAAGACAGAATTTCTCCTTTCAATATCAATACAATATCAAGCACAAAAGTGATGACGTCAAGGAAAAATAGCAATTTGGGGAATATAAGTTTATCAAACAAACATCACAAGACATGTATGGCAGACAGTAAGGAGAATTACTAATTAGATCTCGGAAGTTATAGGGTTAAGGATTTACATAACACGATATCTTTATGAAAACAAACCAACAAACGGAGAACTCACACCACACTATTGGGAGTAGGCAGAGTCTCCTGTATGACAATGAATGTCACAGTACTTCTGAATTGCCTCTTTTGATATTCTCCTGCGCGTGGGTGATCCAAACAATTCAACACGAACAAACACGCAAACAAACACGTAAACAAACACGTAAACAAACTATTAAACAACTTACATCACTGAAAGGATCAATCAAAAACATAAAACCTGCACACTTGGTTCCGATTGCATGTACGTTCACCTTTAATCATTTTAACCCGATGCTTTAGTGCGTCAGCTCAAACCTGTCCGGGACCGTTTGAGCCATGACGAGTTCATTCCCTTTTACATTTTATCTTTATTTCAAATTTGGAAATGCTAAACAAATGAATGTAATTAGTGTTAGATAACAGATCAATAAGCTGTACCAGAATAGTTTCCAGTGAAACAGAGGCCTGAAAGAATAACGTAGAAGTATTATAAAATTTGCTGCTTTACCCTTCGATTGTTAATACGTCCAACTTGACACATTCGGGTGTGTCTTGTTCTCTTATGCTGAACATCTGCTGGCTTTCCATTGCCAGTTTCACGTCGCCAATATACTGGTCTTCAACATCTGTAGCAATGATGCAAACGGGATAGTACATACTTCCCAGTTGGGTCAGGCAAGCTTTGTGTCCCGCCTGAAATTGAAACAAATAACTTTTCAAGCCACAAGAAAATAACATATAGATGCTACGTTGCCGTGGGTCTGTTCAATAAAAGATCACAGATGGCGTCAAAATGTGGCAAGAACAAAAAAGTGGCTCACGACGCGCAGCCGAGTGTGACACTGATGCTCTTGCATGTAACACAATCTATTTGTTCTGTGTGACAAAAAAGCAAAATAAAGAAAGATGTTTTTCGTCTCGCCACGAGCGTGGGACAAAGAAAAAAAATTCTAAGACCCCATGAGGAATCGAGCCTTAGACCTTCGGATTCCGCGCTTCCATGCTCTACCACCGAGCCACTATCAACATGAGACCCTCTAAGGACTACACTCACCAGGACAATCAGACAACACTATCACATGAAATCCCCTAGTTCAAATCATCTAGTGCAGTTGATATACTAGAAATCTTGAGGGAAATGTCCAAACCTTGAAAGCTGTATTATACTTCTCTTGTGCAACATAATTTATATATTAAAAAAAAATGTTTTTGAGAATGTGATATCTATAAATCACTCATCCAATGAGAAACAAGCAGTTCAAGGGTGAGCACGTGACAGCTTATCCCTGCCTTCCAAAACACTTATGGAAAAAAAAAATATTCACATGCATGCAAAACTATATGGAGAGCTGGGAATGGCAGAACATTCCACTTAACTTAATATAAAAAAGATTGAGAGCCAAAACTAAAGACAGCCTTACTTTGATTTTACATTCATACATGTAGCCAAATTCCATTTCAGCAGTTGACTCTGTTGCATGGATGTTTTCATGCCTGACATCAACGGTTGCCACATGGAAATCTGCCATTTTATTTTCAATTGTCAGTCTAGTATCATAAATGTCATAGACTCCTTCAACAACACCCTGTAGAAATCCAGCATCGAGTGTGATTCTGGACGTAAACCCTTCCTTTACGTGAATGTCCTTCACTTTGTATGATTTGGGAGGTGGAGGTGCTGTAGAAAACAATTCAAAGATATACAGCATCAGCTTTTTGGAAGTGTTTTTCCTCTAACATGCAGTCACAAGTTTACAAAATAAATTCTATGGTCATAACAGAAAGAAACATGAAGACATTAAGCACTTAAAGGCAAGACTATGAAGAACCCCATTGGAATCCCAGACTTTACCACTGGGTTTTTATAAATCATGCCAATTTGTTACATAGGTTTCTATGACAAGATTTGATAAGATGGTTTGTAAATCTCACACCAACAAGGTAACATTTTAATGTAACAGTTGAAAAATAACTTAATTCAACAGGGACTTCAAAGGCAGCCATTTAATTTAACAGGTAGAATGAGCTGGCTACCCACTCACTGCCTTTAGACAAACATCATTCCACTTCTCACACATATGTGATTCCCTTCAAATTTGATGAAACTGATGACATCCAGGAACAAAAAAGGAAGATGGATCAGAATAGACCTCAAAAATGCAATAAAATGCAACTGAAAGAGTCTAGGATTATACAGGGAGGTGCAGACCTCCCTCTATAAACAAAAGGCCCTCTGAGCCTTCAAAAATACCTGTCTAATCTTAAAGCAACCTTATTTTGTAAACACCATTGTGTTAAATTAACAGGTAAGTCACCTTTGTCAAAACTGAACAGTATCAAATCCATGTTTCCCCCCTCAAATTGTGGAGTCTGACATTGCTGATTGTTATCTGCCAGCTTTCGTCTTACAAGGCTGTCATAAAAATCAAAATAATTATTAATCATGATAAAATAAATTAAACATAGTTCCTGTAGTTGTAGCTATGCACCCATGAAAGAGGTAAATGACTTCCTTGACCCTCTACTCTCTAACATCAGTATGCATATTCTCCATACTAGACTCCCTAGACACTCCTAGTGTTCTAACAAGGAGAATTTGTTCAACAATCAAGAGCTTCTTAGGTTGGTGATCATCTCCTTTATTCTCATGACCTTAATGCTTGATTCAGGGCTGATGTTATGAGGAGAAATTAGATGTTAGTCAATCTTAGGGGTTAAAGGGATAAAAGAAAAAAACAAGGCTATTAGGTGTTGCGGTTGTCTGTCAGAGACTTAAAAGTTATTTCACAGGTGTAAGAGGGAGTGTAGTTTCAAAGGGTTAGTTGCAAACAGCTTTGATGTTATTAGGAGAATAACCTGAACACCTTTTAAGCATATTGTAGGAGAGTCTTTGTTCTGGTGGAGACTCTTTGATAGCTGCTACCAGTGCAGAAGTAAAGACTCCATGGGCTTCACCAGTTTCAGGATCCTTAAACTCATAGGCTCTTTCATTTGTTGCACAGGCTCCCATGAAAACGAAGTTGTCACTTTGCTGTGGTGACCATCCTTCTGACTTCAAAACTGGAGTCCAAAACTCACTGACGCCATGGTGTTGAGCTTTACGTGCTCTTGCTGGATAGGCTGGCTGCATCTCTTCAAATGGAGGAAGACGCATCTGATGCTAATGTGAACAAAAATCACTAAGTGAACATCTCTGCAACATCAAAACCTACTAGTAGATGGTACTTCTTTGGTATGTCTTGAATATAAAGTAAATGAACAGTTATCATCAGTGAAATGATTGACTTATTGGTTATAGAAATTGATTTAAAAGAGGGTGACAGACTGAGAGACTAACTGAGTGACAGCCTGATTGACTGATCAAGGGGGTAAGTTTCTAAAGAAACTGTGATGCTGCCATGGTGGGAGAGAATAATAGAGTAATTTAGTATTGTCAACTGAGCTGATAAATAAATGTAAATTGGCCATTGTATAGAGTTTCTAAGCTGATGTTTTGAGTGCTATAGCCCTATTTGTCAGAGTGAATGACGAAGGGTCAATGCTTGAAACATTAGTTTCGAAATTCTTCATGTTGGCCAAATTACGCTATCAACTCAGTTGATAATACTAAATTACCCTGATTAACTGATTGATTGATTGATTGATTGATTGACTGATCAATTGATTGAAGAAGAAAGAGTATTTTCCAAAATTTGTCACATCAGAGCATTTGTGTAATTCATGGTGGGTCCAAAAAGTATGTAGCAAGATGTAGCAACATCAAGTGAGAAGAAAATATCAACCTTATGAATTGAATGTTATTCTACAATGGCAACCATCACCTACTTTAGTATAACCTGTTTGATTATGCAAACAACAACCACCAAAGAATCAAAAAAGCTACTCAAAGTCTTGTCATGGAAAAGCTGTTACGTACATACATGAAAAGAAAAATAAATTAAAAAAAGAAAACCTACCTTGGCGCGCGCAGCTGCTGAACCCGGTTGTGTTTTCTTGGTGGGTTTCCCTCTGGCTTCTAGAGCCTTGCGATACTCACTGATGTATTCATCAGAAAATGCAAGCTGTGCAAAGAAGTGATTCAAAACACTTGCAATTAGTGTTTGCATTTAAGTCTACTTGTAGGTTTAACCACAAGTACATTATATAACTGCTGCAACTTTATTTTCTGTTGCCTGAAGCAACTTTAACCCCTTAACTTCCATAAGTGACAAAGAGAGAATTTCTCCTTACACTATCAATACAATATCAAGCAGACAAGTGATGAGAATGAAGTAAAATGTCAATTAGGGGATTATTAGTTGATCCAATACCAAATTCTCTAAACTAAGATCATCAGAATTGGTTGGCAGACAGTAAGGAGAATTGCTAATGAGATCTTGGAGTGAAAGGGTTCAGGTATTGACATTACTCCTGGGAAGGATATGCAGCAGCTATGGTCCATCACAGGAAATTCTGCCAAAATTCATATCATTTTCCAAAACTGTAATCAAGCTTTACTTGTTTTCCTTCAGTGTTACTTCAAATAATAATGTTAAATTTTGAGTAAGGACTAGGCTTAAAGTTCAACACTATTATTTACACTGTAAAATACTTTTGTACAACAACATAAACCAGTTATCAAAGTGACAGAGGCTTTGCCTAGAACTTCAACATTATTTCCCAAAAAAACTTTCGTGTTGCAATACTTACCTATTTGCCTTGGTGGAAACATGCATAATTTGTGAGACTTAAGTAGACTGAGCTTTCCCAGGAACACAATGATCCATACTTTTAATGGCAGAAATAATAATTATATGGCTTTTGGACAAATACTTCTCCTTTAACTTAATCAATGGTTGAGGTTTTTTTAAAACCAGTTGTAACACTTTACTTTTAGATCCAAAGTACTGAAACTGGGTCAGTACAAATGCAACAAATGTAAGTTCATTCACATCATCTGATTTATTCTACAGATTAAAATACATAGCCATATAGAAATTTATCTACTTTGCACATTTTCAAATCAAGAATAACTTTTTGGCAACAGTATTGCTCCATAGTCAGTGGTTTACCTGTTTAATGCCTGTGTTGTTGTGTTTTGTGTCTGGATAACCTCTGTAGATACGGCCAGAAAAACAGCAATCAAAGATAACATTGACAAGTGCCCCCTTGTTAATCAACTTGGACAGGTGAGGCTTGAAATGTTCACCTGTTATACAAGTATCAAGGATGTGGTATTCATCAACCTGCAAAAAAAAATTAAAAACATAAAAGGTTGACTTACTTGAGACTTACTACAATCTTATGTTAAAAAAAAAGAAGTTACACTAATACACTTTCATCCGAGTGACATGAATAGTTTTCTATGAAACCTCGATTATATTCTTGACTAATATTGTAAAGGTTTTTTGTCATTGACAATGGCAAGCTATGAGAGAGTCAACTCGAAAGAAACAGGGATTCAGTCAAGGATGAGGAAAATTGACACAGACTGGAAACAAATGATTGGAAAAATTACAGTTAAAAGAGTTAAGATGAATGAATGCAACTGACACAGTTCCTCTCAATAAAGTCATTGGAAATGCCACCTTGCTACATGTAGTGAATATTAAACAATTCCATGCACTGCAATTCAATTTTCTTAACCCTGGACTATTATTTTGAACCCTTTAGTTGGTTACTAACCACACTGAGCAATTCACTGACTTTTTCAGGCTGAGTGAGACATTTCTTGCAGTGTTTCCATGGATTAATGTCCACCCACTCAGCATCTTCACCTAGCAGCTTGCTTTGTCAGAAAACCATTATCATAATTGCTATTGAGTAAAGGCAATTGACTGCACTTTCTACCACTAGTTAAGAATTGTGACTTGTGAAGGTATTGGCCACAAAGAAAACTTGAAAAGCACCTCCTTGATTGCAAATTAATACTTACTTAAATACTCCCTAACTTATCAGAATTTTGATTTGATAGATTAGGCCAATGATCAGTTTGTTACATACACCTTATTTCCATCTCTGTGCCAAGATGTCAAATGGTTTTTATCTAATGGTCACGGTATTTAAATTTAGTTACGCTGAGAAATGGGAACTACATGTGTTTATTATTTACCATTTCTTTTGTTAAGTCCCCAGAAATCAAGCCTTCATCAAAATAGCCAGCTTTTTCAGCATCAAAGCTACAGCCATGGCCAGAATAATAAACAACCACCACTGAACCTTTTTGTGCCTTTGCAGACAATTCTTCTAAGGAAGCTAGGATGCTCTCTCGTGATGCCAAAAGGCCTTCCAGGACCTTAAATGTAAGCACAGAAACGTATTGATGAATTATGACAAGATTAGCGGCCAGGTTACTAAGTTAACTTTAAAACAGCAGTGTTGAGAGATTGAGTTTTGAGCATATTTTGATGGGATTTTTGAAAGACTAAATCACTCTTTGAAATCTCCAAATACCAGTGTCTGCAATGCTCCAAGCTGCAACGATAAGAGTTTACCTAGAGTCCAATTACTGCAAAAAAATCTGTTGTTTTATACTGTTTTAATACAACTTTTTAGATAACAATTGCACAACCGTATCGATCCACCACTTTTGTTTTGCCTGTTGACATGTTTAAAGCTTGCCCAGCTATGTTTACATCCAGATCTTGCACTATAAAAAACCCTATAAACTAGCTACTTTAGAACCATAGTTGCCCCTTTATTTTGGTACTTTCTTGTTTCCCTTTTTTAAATATTGAAATGTCACATGAGCCTTCAAAAACAGCTGCTGGCCACTGAAAACTGAAATTTCAAATCTGATTTTTAGTTTCCAAATGGAGACTTTAAAAAACCTGCCTTTAAGGCTTGAAGCACTGTATACTTTCAATGGTAGGGATAATTTAAGATATGCAGTGCCAGACTTTGAAAATTTAGAAACTTTCTACAGACCTTAATGTTTTCTGATTGGAATCCATTCTCACAGAGCATGTCTTTCATCAACTGCAGATCATTTGCTACACCTTGCAGGGGGCCACAGTAGGTTGGCAAATCTTCTGGATAACTTGGTCCAATCAAAAGCGCTAAAGTTTCAGCCATGTCTCTTTCTGAATATACATAAAGCAAAAGGAAATGTTGACACTAAAATGATTGAGCATGAGGTCGATGATATGAATTTTGTTTTAGATCGATGTAATTTAATGAAATATGAAGAAATTTTATCAGTAGATGACCCTGTCACCTCATTGCTGTTCCTTCTTTGAGTCAAGGAAGTACAAGTAGAGAGCCAGACTGTTTTATACAGGATCAGATCTTATTCCGAGACGTTGAAAATTTTCAGAAAATGATACAAAGATTTCCACACTTTTCTTGAAGATAACTGTCAAGAACGTGTCTCAGAGCTCTTCTGTGTGAAGTCAGATGTCATTAAGGGATTGCACCTGATCACCTACACAACTTCCCTTCCCTTGAACTGATTTAAGTCTTAATAATTTCCTTACACATTGTTTGACGATTTCAGCTGGGGATAGGGAAATTAGAAGCTCAAATTTTTCGACCAAAAGTGAAGCATTGCTTAGCAAACCTCACACGGTGTGTGAGGTTTAGGGTTTTCACCACCTAAGTAAAAGTTACCCACAAGGTGGCTTAGCAACGATAACTTGACTGGCTGCATAACATGTAAGTTACATGGTTGGGAAACTTTTTTAAGGAATGTATGGCAATTCTCATTTAGTTTATATGCGAGGCAACTCCCCTGAAAACTGAAATATTCTTGAAAGATAAAACATCGAGAGAATTTGAGCTCACAACGCTCACAACAGATCAATGTTGACTGAAGCTAAACAAACCTTTAAATTAAGAGAAGCAAACTGCCATAAAACTTACCAAAACAACAGAATAATCTTCCTGGTTGGTCAATTGTTGTGGTGCGTGCTGTAGCTACCTTCTTAATGCAGTCAGTGCTTCGCGTTCACCTGACGAAACTAAAATTTGCAAAGGTGTATGTCGGAAGTAAATCAGGGAAACCCCTTCTCACTGGCTCTCAGTCACGTGGATAGAAAACTGCATTTCATTTCTTGTAGGGGAGACCCATGATCGATAAAATCTCCAGGAATAAAACATTCGTGTTATCCAAGCCATTAATCTGTATGCGATGATGCTAAAATCGTCCTGGAATGTGCATAGTTATACACAATTGTTTTTACAAACTCGAATGATCCGCCATTATGAAAATCCCAGATCCCTATTTCGCGGGATTTTTCATCCGGCGTGACGTCATCATCGCGATCCTGGTACGAGCGCAAATTTCTCTTTCGTGCCATCCATTTTCGTTACTCGCTCCATGTCATTTTCCTTCAGTGAAGTTCCCATTAAACAAGGCACAATACTTTGACTCAAACTACAACACTTACTCATCATTGGTTTATACTTTTTGGTCGATCGGGGACTCGGAGTAACGAGGAGCTTTTCACTTATAAAGCTTAACTATGCCATCCAACTCTATTTTTTTCATACTTTAGTTCACAATTAATCAGTATTACATTTCGAGGTGGAAACTGTAACGAAGGCTATTTTTAGTTGTGATTTGCGAGACTTTCAATATCCTTATGTTTAGTGTGACATTAACTTTCGAACTGTCGGCATAATGTTTCATTCGGCCACGAGACACGTGTTAGTCGCAAGCATAGCCAGATCGTAGGATTGTCGAAATACTTGAATAATAGAATGGGGAAAGAGGTATATCATCTTGTTTATTTTTGTATTTATATAGCGAAACGTGTATAATTAAAGGTAGTTTTGTTTCGCTTGGGATATTTGTGTTATTTTGTTTACTATCAGAGGTATTGCGAAATCCCCCTCTAAGACCTAAATGTAGCGCAATAACTCGAGAACCTTTTACATTAGTAACCATACTCTTTGCACTGTTCTCTTTACATTTCCTATACTTAAACAGGGAAAATGTGCCAACATTTTGGATTTCTATATTCAGAGAATTGAAAAATTTAGGTCCTTGAAAACATAACGCAAACTTTTTGATATTTGTTCTGCAAGGAATATGTAAAAGTAATTGCATTGTCTGATGCAATAGCAATGATGGCTACTCGATAACGAAAATAATCTTTTAAGAGTATTAGGAAGACGGCCTATCTTGAACAAAACACGATCTTTCCTATTTGAAATCGATATACATTATATAGATCAAGAATTTTCAACTGCTTAAATATAGGTTCAGAATGAGCGTTAAAGGTACTTCTTGATATAATTCGTACCACCTTTTTCTGGAGTAGGACCATACGTTTCAAGTTTGATGGATAAGTGGAGCCCCATACCGTAATGCGGTAAATAGGGATAGACAAGACTATGGTACAGGGTACATAAAGTTGAAGTAGGTAGTCACAGATTAGCTGTATAGATTAAACCAATGGGTTTTGCAACTTTCCTAGCGAATTCTATGAATTGTAGGAGAGTTTTAAGTCACTTTCCCTTTTACAAAATTCTTCGTACTCTTAGAATTTTTAATTTGTCGCCCCTGTCCTTAACAACATTGACATGAGGGTTGGGGAGGGATTCCTTACTGGGTCAAATTATCAACGTATCAACCATGATCATCAAATAAATAATGGGGAACCTAAATTAATTCCTTTCTATTCTTAGAGAATGAAGTATCATGTCAGTTTTCTATCTTTAAATGAAAATGAAAAACAATCCTGAGAAAAGTCAATGAGTGATGTTTGGTTTTTAAGGTCAGTTTGAAAGAACAGCACTCATAGTAACATTTATTTTTTAAGATAGGTATTATACATTGTTCTCCCGTGACCCACCCATTCGTCTTCACGACAGTGTTATAACCTCTTCCCAACCCCCTACCCTTCACCAGGGTCCAGAAAAAATGACCCATAATCTTTAACTTGTCTTGTAGTCTACTTGAAGGAGACAAACAAGGGTATCTTTCAAAACCATTAGACTTTACATCCAGCAGCAGTACTATTCAAAAAGCACCTCTTTGTCATTTAAAATCATAGGCATGTGTAGCATGCATTAATTATTCTATCGGCTGAGCGGGTTGAGATGGGACACTTTGTGTACCTAATGTTTTCATTTTCATAACAGAAAAAGAGCGTACCTTTCAAACGGATGAAAATATCGCATTACTTCACCTTAAGAAAAAAAAAACAATTTATCTGAACTCACACAAATATTTTGTGGTCTACTGTCTCTATTGTCTAAATAATACTAAGCAAAAATGCATCAGTGCCACACTTACTGTTGTCTTCTTCGCAGCAGTTGTTTGTTCTCGTCACACAACGCCATCTATTCCCCGTTAGAGAGAGCGCACTGCGTGACGAGGGCAAAAAACGGTTGCGAAAGGGATTACCCTTATTACCGTTCCTCTAACAGAGAGAAAATCAAACTAATGCTCTTGATAAAAACAAAATTAGCTCATGCAGTTCTGCGGGTTTTTTTCGACTTTTAGGCAAAACGATATTATTCTTAAGGCTCCACTGTTCTCAAAGAAAAACTTTAGAGAAAAGACAACCACAAAAAGTTTTTTTTTTTTTCCAAAAACTTGAGTTACACCAGAGCGTGAAAGGATTAGTGGTCGTGTATCCCTATTAAATGCTTTAAAATTTAAATGTTCATATTTAGATCTGTTAAATTGCAGTCAATGTCAGGAATAAACCTTTGTTAGGAGATTAAAATAAAAACAACAGCACAAAAAAGAAGAGATGCAAAAAAGGAATATAGAACAACATTCCTAGTTCCTGCTTTGCTCCTTTTACTCCTCGAGAGGGTCGATTTTCTCAAAGGTTTGTTCTGGATGGTATATCACCCTGAACTCTCGCTTTATAGTAATCCACCTCACGTCTTCGCGCACAACGTCCCGGCTACGAGGCTCGGAGTCCAAAGCGTCTCGAAATCTGGCGACGGTGAAAAGTCCTAATCCCTGTTTTAAACAACACAGAAAAAGTCATGAAGATACACTTATGTTATGTAATTAAGTAAACAGGGTTCGTGACTTTTCGCTGACCTTAACAATTTTCACCGGCTTCGATTGGTAAAAACCCACATCGATTGGTGCATGTCACACCTACAACCTCATAAGATGAGTGTATCTTAACGGAATACTCGAAGAAATAAATAGAAAGGGAAAATAGTCTTGGTTTTGGCTAATTTCGAGCTGAATGGAACAGTTAAGGAAGTCTTGTAAATGTAGGGGAACATTCACAAATCGAAGGCTTATCATTTGTTTGAGTTTTCCACTCAAAACGTTCAAATAACAATTTGTACATTCATAAACGGACTTAATTTATACTAAGGAAAGTGATACATACGTCGGGTGTGTCAATCCCTCTAGTGCTCAAATAAGGACTGAGCTCTATAGAAGTCTGGAACAGAGGCAGATAATCAGCCTCGGCAGTGGTGGCATACAACATAATGATGTCGTTACATCCGTCAGGTCTTGTTAATTCATCGTTGGGCTCTTCCATGAGACGGAATGTCTCAGGCTGGAGAAAAACGCGCCTGATCTCTGATACTGACTCACCAGGCCTGAGCACAGAGGTGAGACCCTACAGAGTGGATGAATAAGGCAACGACAAAAATGTTAGTCTTGAAGATGTAAAAAACCCTTCTCCGGTAAAAGCAATGTACGATGCCCAATTATAAAACAAACTAAAAAAATAACTCGCCTTTTTCGCTGCCGGATACAAGGCAACAATGGAGCCATCGGACTGGTAGGAAATCAAACAAACGTGAATTGGAAATTCCTCGTTATTGGTGATCTGAATCACAACCGCGTCACCTGAAGAATCTACCACATCGTACTTTCTACGATAACCCGAGTTGGGTGCAAGCTCGACTTTGTGGGCTCCAAAATTTGGAACATAATCCTCTGGGTGCCCTGGAACAAAGAAATAACCAGGAAGAAAATAGTGAGGAACGTTGCCCCTTGCTGCCAGGGAATCTACTGAAAAAGTTTGAATATCAAAAGATGCTCCTACTCATGACCATACAGTTACAAGGGAGGGAATAAAGGGAAAGTTTTCATGATAATATCTCCCCTCCCCCCCCTTGCCGGGGAGTCAATAGGTATATCATAGAGGCCTTTGTTGCGGTTATTCCTCAGAATAATGAAAAAAAAAAGTTTTGAACTTTCCTTAAATGTTCCCTTCTAACATCTCACCCTATTTATACGGCATTACCTTCATAAACTTCCGCGGTTTGAACAGCCTGAGCTTTCAACTCCTTCTTCTTAGTCAGATTTTTCTTGTAGGAAGGCACGTTCTCCACTTTGAACAGCTTGAGGCTAACATTCCTCAGCATGTTGTGATCGGGATCCCTGAGCCGGGTCCCAAACTTGACACGAAAACGCTTGGAAAGATTTTTTATCATGAGGTGACCATCCTCAACCCGTTGATCCGGTGCAATCATCCTTCCTTTGTAAATGGCACGCCAACATTTTTTCCTGAGCATCAAATTTCTTACTTAAGATTCGCTCATGGAAGTGTTCAACCCTTTAAACTCCCATGAGTGACCAAGACAGAATTTCTCTTTACAATATCAATACAATATCAAGCAGACAAGTGATGAGAATAAAGAAAAATATCAATTAGGGGATTATAAGTTGATCCAATACCAAATTCGTAAAACTAACATCACAAGAACTGTACGGCAGACAGTAAGGAGAATTACTAAAGGGATCTTGGGAGTTAAAGGCTTGAGAATTTGCATAACACGATATCTTAAAGAAAACAAACCAACACACGGAGAACACACCCCACACGAGCGGAAGTAAGCGGATTCTCCTGTATGAAAATGAGTGTCACAGTACTTCTGAATTGCCTCTTTTAATATACTCCTGCGCGTGAGTGATCCAAACAATTAAAAACGAACAAACACGCAAACAAACACGTAAAAAAACACGTAAATAAACTATTAAACAATTTACACCACCTTAAAGGATCAATCAAAATCATAAAATCTGCACACTTGGTTCCGATTGCATGTACGTTCACCTTTAATCATTTTAACCCGATGCTTTAGTGCGTCAGCTCAAACCTGTCCGGGACCGCTTGAGCCATAACTAGTTCATTCCCTTTTACATTTTGTCTATATCCCAAATAGGGAAATGCCGAATAAATTAATTTAATTAGTGTTAGAGGCCTGAAACAGAGGTCTGAAACAATAACGTAGAAGTATTAGAAAATTTGCTGCTAATTACTTTTCGATTGTTACCACGTCCATCTTGACACATTCGGGTGTTTCTTGTTCTCTTAAGCTGAACATCTGCAGGCTGTCCAATAATATTGCCTGTTTCAATTCGCGAATATATTTCTCTTCAAGCTCTGTAGCAATGATGCAAATGGGATAGAACATACTTCCTAGCTTGGCCAGGCGAGCTTTGTATCCCACCTGAAATAGAAACAAAAAAAATTTTCAAGCCACGTGAAATAAACATAAAGATGCTACGTTGCCGTGGGTCTGTTCAATCAAAGATCACAGATAACGTCAAAATGTGGCAAGAACAAAAAGAAGAGGCACACGACGCGCAGTCGAGTGTGACACTGATGCTCTTACATGTAACACAATCTATTTGTTTTGTGTGAAAAAAAAGCCAAATGTTTTCAGTGGTGATGTCATCCTTACGTCTGTTCTCCAAAAGATCATGAGTAAGACCCAACCAAAATGCATGTATAATTCAGTTTATTTATTATATAACCCTTTAACTCCTATGAGTGACCAAGACAGAATTTCTCCTTACAATATCAATACAATATCAACCAGATAAGTATTGAGAATAAAGAAAAATACCAATTTGGGGATAATACGTTGATGCAATACTAAATTCTCTGAACTAACATTATAGGAATTGTATGGTAATTAGTAAGGAGAATTTAAAATTTGATCTGGGAGTTAAAGGATGAAAAGAACTGGAGATATGTTTTGCATTGAGGTGTATTTCTCCATTCAATTTAATAAGCTTCAAATGATCTACACCAAATTGAATACCATTTGTGAGGAGGCACTGACCACGAATCAAAATAATTTTAAGGAACACACAAATAACATTCTGCAGTTAAGGCTAAATAATCAAAAAAATAATCCAAGTTATGGATAATAAATTTCCCCAGCTACATTAGGAAGTTATATAGTGTAGCTGTAGAGTAAAACAGACATAACCCACCCATTGGTGACAATTGAAATAGGAATGTCAAACCTATGTGTGGTATGAACACTAAACAATGGATACACCTGCAAGAGGGTGGGAAAAAAAAAACCAACAAACAACTGTTTCTAATGAACAACAGTTTGTATATTGTGATAATGTACTGTGATCATCTGGGTGAGTGTGAGGACACTCACACTCACACTCACACTCACACTCACACTCACACTCACACTCACACTCACACTCACACTCTGGGTGGGTGAGTGTGGTCACACTCACTCACTTGGAAGACTCTTGTCAGAAACAGTCACCACTATCAACATGAGACCCTGTCAGGACTACACCCACTGGGACAATCAGATAACACTATCACATGTTACCCCCTGGTTCAAACCATTTGCTGCAGTTGATATATTACAAATCTTGAGGGAAATGTCCAAGCCTTGAAAGCTGTATTATACTGCTCTTGTGCAACATAATTTATATATTAATAAAAAATGTTTTTGAGAATGTGATATCTATAAATCACTCATCCAATGAGAAACAAGCAGTTCAAGGGTGAGCACGTGACAGCTTATCCCTGCCTTCCAAAACACTTATGGAAAAAAAAAATATTCACATGCATGCAAAACTATACGGAGAGCTGGGAATGGCAGAAAATTCCACTTAACTTAATATAAAAAAGATTGAGAGCCAAAACTAAAGACAGCCTTACTTTGACTTTGCATTCATGAAAGATAGAGTTAATTTCCACTTCAGCAGTTGACTCTGTTGCATGGATGTTTTCATGACTGACATTAACGGTTGCCACGCGGAAATCCTCCATTTGATTTTCATCTGTCAGTCTAGTATCGAAAATGTAATACACTCCTTCAACAACACCCTGTAGAAATCCAGCATTGAGTGTGATTCTGTATGTAAACTCTCTCTTGTCGTGAACTTCCTTCACTTCAAATGATATGGGAGGTGGAGGTGCTGTAGAGAACATTCAAATATATACAACACCACCTTTTTGGAAGTGTTTTTCCTCTAACATGCAGTCACAAGTTAACAAAATAAATTATATGGTCATAACAGAAAGAAACATGAAGACATTAAGCACTTAAAGATAAGGCTATGATTAGAACCCCACAGGAATTCCAAACCTTACCCTAGGGTTTTTTTTTTGTAAATCCCGGCAATTTGTCACATAGATTTCAATGACAAGATTTGATAAGATGGTTTGTAAATCTCACACCAATAAGGTAAGATTTTGATGTAACAGTTGAAAAATAATTTAATGCAACAAGAACTTCAAAGGCAGCCATTTAATTTAACAGGTAGAATGAGCTGGCTACCCACTCACTGCCTTCAGACAAACATCATTCCACTTCTCACACGTATGTGATTCTCTTCAAATTTGATGAAACTGATGACATCCAGGAACAAAAAAGGAAGATGGATCAGAATAGACCTCAAAATGCATTAAAATGCAACTGAAAGAGTCTAGGACTTCAAATTATACAGGGAGCTAGGTGCAGACCTCCCTTTATAAACAAAAGGCCCTCTGAGCCTTCAAAAATACCTGTCCAACCTAATTATTTTGTAAACACCATAGTGTTAAATTAACAAGTCACCTTTGTCAAAGCTGAACAGAATCAAATTCATGTTTCCCCCCTCAAATTGCGGAGTCTGACGTTGCTTCTTGTCAGCCATCCTTTGTCTTACAAGACTATCATAAAAATCAAAATAATTACTAATCATGACAAACAAAGTAAATTTAAACATAGTTCCTGTAGTTCTAGCTATGCACCCATGAAAGAGGTAAATGTATTCCTTGACCCTCTACTCCCTAACATCAGTATGCATATTCTCCATACTAGCCTCCCTAGACACTTCCTAGTGTTCTAACAAGGAGAATTTGTTCAACAACCAAGAGCTTCTTAGGTTGGTGATCATCTCCTTTATTCTCATGACCTTAATGCTTGATTCAGGGGTGATGTTATGAGGAGAAATTAGATGTTAGTCAATCTTAGGGGTTAAAGGGATAAAAGAAAAAAACAAGGCTATCAGGGGTTGTGGTTGTCTGTCAGAGACTTAAAAGTTATTTCAGCTTTGATGTTATTAGGAGAATTACCCTTAACACCTTTTGAGCATATTGTAGGAGAGTCTTTGTCCTGGTGGAAACTCTTTGATAGCTGCTACCAGTGCAGAAGTAAAGACTCCATGGGTTTCATGAGTTTCAGGATCCGTATACTCATAGGCTCTTTCATTTGTTGCACAGGCTCCCATGAAAATGAAATTGTCATTTTCATGTGGTGACCATCCTTCTGATTTTAAAGCTGGAGTCCAAAACTCACTGACTGGGTAGGGTAGAGCCACAGGTGCACTTGCTGGATTGGCTGGCTGTGTCTCCTGAAATGGAGAAAGATGCATCTGATGCTATGTGAACAATAATCACAAAGTGAACATCTTCACAATATCACAACCTACTAGTAGATGGTATTTCTTTGGTATGTCTTGAATATAAAGTAAATGAACAGTTATCATCAGTGAAATGATTGACTTATTGGTGAGAAATTGATTGAAAGAGTGACACAGATGGCATGACTAACTGATTGACTGCCTCAAGAGGGTAAGGTTCTGGAGAAACTGTGGTGCTGCCATGGAGAGCATAACAGGGTAACTAAGTATTGTCAACTGAGTTGATAAAGAAATGCAAATTGGCTATTGTAAAGAGTTTCTAAGCTGATCGATTGTCAGAACACTCTTTATGTTGGCCAAATTATGCTATTAACTCAGGTGATGATACTACCCTGATTGACAGATTGGTTGATTGATTGATTGATTGACTGATTGATTGATCAATTGATTGAAGAGGAAAGATAGAAGAACAAGAAAAGAGTATTTTCCTAAATTTTTCACATCAAAGCATTTGTGTAGTTCACAGTGGGTGCAAAGCGTATGTAGCAGATCATGTAGGAACATTTCTTGTGAAGAAAATATCAACCTAATGAATTGAATGTTATTCAACAGTGGTGACCACCACCTACTTTAGTATAACCTGTTTCATTATGCAGGCAACAACCATCAAAGAATCAAAAAAGCTACTTAAAGTCTTGTTATGGAAAAGCTCTTACATAACTATGTACATGAAAAGAAAAATAAAATAATATTTTTAAAAAATCTACCTGAGTAACTGTTGAACTCAGTTGTGTTTCCTGAACTGGAAAGTGCTCTTCTTCATGCTCCGTGGGATACCCTCTGGCTTTTAGAACCTTTTGATACTCACTGATGTATTCATCAGACAATGCAAGCTGTGCAAAGAAGACATTCAAAACACTTGCAATTAGTGTCTGCATTTAAGTCTGCTTGTAGGTTTAATCACAAGTTTATTATGTAACTGCTGCAACTCACATCTTATGTTGCACTTTACCCCTTAACTCCTGTAAGTGACCAAGACAGAATTTCTCCTTACACTGTCAATACAATATCAAGCTGGCAAGTGATAAGAATGAAGTAAAATGTCAATTAGGGGATTAATAGTTGATCCCATGCAAAATTCTCCAAACTAACATTATAAAAATTGGTTGACAGACAGTAAGGAGAATAAATAATGAGATCTGGGAGTGAAAGGGTTCAGGTATTGACATTAATCCTGGGAAGGATATGCAACAGATGTGGTCCATCACAGGAAATTCTGCCAAAATTCATAACATTTTCCAAAACTGTAATCAAGCTTTACTAATTGTTTTCCTTCAGTGTTACCGCAAATAATAATGTTGAATTTTGAGTAAGGACTAAACTCAAAGTTCAACATTATTATTAACAACACTGTAAAATACTTTTGAAGGAGAACATACACCAATTTTCAAAGCAACAGAGGCTTGGGGGTGCCTACAAAACGAAGACCGAAGACCGAAGACCGAAGACCGAAGACCGAAGGCCGAAGACCGAAGACTGAAGACCGAAGACCAAAGACCGAAAAACGAAGACCCTAATTTTTTTGCCCGAATAAGGCACGGACAGTTAAAAACTAACCCAAAGCGTTCCTCAGCACAAACCAATGTGAAATTAACAGGGGTCTTCGTTTTGTAGAAAAGCCCCCCTAAATCTACAAAACGAAGACCCTTGATAAAACGCTTTGCCAGACCCCTGGGAAGGAAGAATCTATTATACGTTGCCGATTTCAACCGCGCGCGACAAAAAGGGGTGCATCAGTTGTCTAGACTGATGCGGTTTTAAATTGCAATCGGGCCTATTTTTTGACTGATATACTGAAACATTTGAACTGTTTTAGCCGCCCCCACAAAAAAAAACAACAACAACAATATGTGCTTTCTATCACCTATCCTAAGACTAAATCATTTTGCTACAGTATTAGGTCACAGCCAAGTCTTTAAAATTGTCTTCGGTCTTCGGTCTTCGGTCTTCGGTCTTCGGTCTTCGGTCTTCGTTTTGTAGACACCCAGAGGCTTGGCCTAGAACTTCAATGTTATTTCCCAAAAAGCTTTTCTGTTGCAATGCTTACTTATTTGCCTTGGTGGAAACATGCATTGTGTGACTTAAGTGGACTGAGCTTTCCCAGAAACACAATGACTCATACTTCTTTACGGCAGAAATAAAAAATATATGGCTTTTGGACAAACAATTCTTCTTTAACTGGACTTTCTAAAATGATCAATGGTTGAGGTTTTCTGAAAACCAGTTGTGACACTAAAATTTACTTTTAGATCCAAAGTATTTGAAACTGGTTCAGAACAAATGCAACAAAAGTAAGTTCATTCACATCATCTGATTTAATCTACAGTATAAAATACATTTAGAAGTTTATCTGCTTTGCACATTTTCAAATCAAGAAAAACTTTTGAGCTACAGTATTGCCCCACAGTCAGTGGTTTACCTGTTTTATGCCTGTGTAGGTGTTTTTCACCTCTGAATTACCTCTGTACATACGGCCAGAAAAACAGCACTCAAAGATAACATTGACAAGTGCCCCCTTGTTAATCAACTTGGACAGGTGAGGATTGAAATGTTCACCTGTTATACAAGTATCAAGGATGTGGTATTCATCAACCTGCAAAAAAAATTAAAAACATAAAAGGTTGACTTAGTTGAGACTTACTACAATCTTATGTTAAAAATAAAGGAGCTACACTAATACACTTACATCAGAGTGACATGGCCCATAAAGGTGTTGGCCAGGGAGAAAACTTGAAAAGCACCTCTTTCATTGCAAATTTATACTTACTGAAATACTCCCTAACTTACCAGAGTTTTGATTTGATAGATTAGGCCAATGATCAGTTTGTTACATACACCTTCTTTCCATCTCTGTGCCAAGATGTCAAATGGTTTTTATCTAATGGTCACGGTATTTAAATTTAGTTACACTGAGAAATGGGAACTACATGTGTTTATTATTTACCATTTCTCTTGTTAAGTCCCCAGGAATCAAGCCTTCATCAAAATAGCCAGCTTGTTTAGCATCAAAGCTATGGCCATGGCCAGAATAATAAACAACCACCACTGAACCTTTTTGTGCCCTTACAGACAATTCTTCTAAGGAAGCTAGGATGCTTGCCCGTGATGCCAGCAGGCCTTCAAGGACCTTAAATGTAAGCATAGAAAGGTTTTGATATATAATGATAAGGTAAGTGGCCAGGTTATCAAGTTAAGTTTAAAACAGCAGTGTTGAGAAGTTGAGTTTTGAGCATATTTTGATAGGATTTTTGACACAGTCGATCAGTCTTTGAAATCTCAAAATGCCAGTGTCTGCAGTACTCCATGCTGCAATTCAATCAATATAAAAATCTATTGTTTATAATGTTTTAATACAACTTTTTAGATAACAATTATGTGATCATATTGAGCCACCACATTTGTTTTGTTGACGTATTTAAAGCTTGCCCAGCTATGTTTGCATCCAGATCTTGCAAAATGAAAAACCCCATAAACTACTAGATTAGATCCATATAAGTAGCCCTTATATATTAGTACTTTCTTGTTTCCTCTTTTTAAATCTTGAAATGTCACACGAGTCTTCAAAAACAGTTGCTGGCCACTGAATGATGAAACTGAAAATCTGATTTTTGGTTTCCAAATGAAGACTTTGGAACACTGGCCCTATAGGCTTATTAGGACACTGTATACATTCAATGGTAGAGATAAATTTAAGATACGCAGTGCCAGACTGCAAAAATTTGGAGACTTTCTACAGACCTTAATGTTTTCTGGTTGGAATCCATTCTCACAGAGCATGTCTTTCATTAACTTTAGATCATTTGCTACACCTTTCAAGGGGCCACAGTAGGTTGGCAAATCTTCTGAATAACTTGGTCCAATCAAAAGGGCTAAAGTTTCAGCCATATCTCTTGAGGAATCTGAGTATACAAAAAGCAATAGGAAATATTGATGCTTAAATGATTGGGCATGAGGTTGATGATATGAATTTTGTTTTAGATCCATGTAATTTAATGAAATATGAAGAAATTTTATCGAATGAAAACTTTAAAGAATGTTGTCCTACATATGTGAGCTTACAGTAGATGACCCTGTCACCTTATTTCTTTTCCTTCTTTAGTCAAGGACTATAAAGGATCAGATCTTATTCTGGGGCATTGGAAATTTGATCACCCACACAATTTCCCTTCCTTGGAACTGATTCAAGTCTTAATAACTTCCTTACACATTGTTTGACGATTTCTGTTGATAGCTAGGGAAATAGAAGCTCAAATTTTTCGCCCAAAAGTAAAGCATTGCCTAGCAAACCCCAGATGGTGTGCGATGATTAACATTTTCACTCTTTAAGTAAAAGTTCCGCTCAGGGTGGCTTAGGAAGGATAACTTAATTGGCTCCATAACATATAAGTTACATGGTTGCATGGGAAATTTTTTAGGAACGTGTGGCACATTTAACATTGGTTCACATTTACTTTATATGCGAGGCAACTCCCTCGAAAACTGAAAGACTCTTCAAAGATAAAACATCGTGAGAATTTGATGGCACTGTAGCTCACAACAGATCAATTTTGACTGAAGATTAACAATCCTTTCAATTAAGAGGAGCATTAAACTACCATAACACTTACCAAAACAACTAAACGATCTTTCTAGTTCGTAAATTGTTGTGGTGCTCGCTGTAGCTATCTTCTTAATGCAGTCAGTACTTCGTTTTCACCCGACGAAACTTTGCAAACGAAATTTACAAAGTTGCATAGCGGAAGTAAATAGGGGAAAGTCCCTCTCGCTGACTCTCAAGTCACGTGGAAAGAAAACCGCATTTCATTTTCAGTAGGGAAGATCTATGATCGATAAAATCTCTAGGAATAAAGATGAAAAAGTCATCCGCTGACAAGCTCCGCTGACAAAACTCATTTAGACAGTTTAGGCGGGCGACCAGACCGGAGCCATTCGTGTATTTCACCGCAGACAGGAATGGCTCCAAATCATGCGTATGTTAATTTTTTTTCGTTTTGGCTAAATAATTCATACACTGAGATAAAAACTGAAAGAGCGATTTATTAGGTTCTTCTTAAGTTGAAGTCTACAGTGCTTGCAAATGAAGCCCTCTTTTCTTACTACAGGGCTATGTAGTTCCTAAGTTTTAAAATAATGCAGCAACTGCATCTCACGTTTGGAAAATCACGCAATGTTGCGTGACGCTGCGACCGATGTTTTTAATTTACAGTTAATGTATGCTCTGCTGGAGAAATATGGCTTAGCCACAATCGAGGGAGTTTTTTTTCGTGGAAAACTGATTTTCTAGGTTATTGTTCACATAAAGGGCAAATCCATTCATCGGGCTCTTCATCTGTTTTAAAACTACTGTTCGCACAAATTATTTAAAAATTATTGAAAAAAAAATTATTAAAATTGAGTCGGAGCTATTCCTGTCTGCGGTGAAATACAGGAATGGCTCCAGTCTCTGTTCGTGCGCGTGAACTGACTAACTGAATTAAGTCAGCGGAGCTAGTCAGCAGATGACTTTTCCAACGCCGGAATATCGCTGAACGACCTCGCTGAACAAGCTAGACTCTGCCTTCTCTTCATTAAGTAAGTAGCCATTTCTTGTTTGACTCATCGGCGTTTTCACATTGATATTTCATTGTTCCGCCTCGAGACACGCGGTTGACCATACTCACGTGCAAGGAGTTAAGATATAAGTTATTAACTTTACTATTTTTATCATCCAATCACAGGTCGGAGCCATTCCTGTATTTAGTCGCTTGTCAAACTCAAATGATCCGCCATTTTGAAAACCCGCGGCGTGACGTCATCGTCGCGACCTGATACGAGCGCAAATTTCTCTTTCGTGACATTCACGTTCGTGACTTGCTCCATGTCATTTTTTTTACTCATTGAAGTTCTCATTAAACAAAGCACAATACTTTGACTCAAACTACAACACTTGTTCATCATTGGTTTATACCTTTCGGTCTATCGGAGACGCGCAGTAACGAGGAGCTAAGTACGGCTTATCTAACAGAATGCTATCCCCACTACCCAATGTGGCAGAATTAGTCTAGCATTAGTCGTCACATCTTACGATTACAACTCTTTATTCTTTTCATACTTGAGTTTACAATTAATCAGTGTTACATTTGGAGGTAGAAACACTACTAGCTTAGAATGTGCGGTATTGTATGTCCGCATCTGTCAATCCTGTCATATAGCCTGTGAGGTGAACCTCTGCCAAAACCTCATTGGTGCTCCTCAATATCAACTTGATAAGACCGTCGGCTTCGATCTCGTGCGTAACAAGATCTAAAGCTTGGTGCCAGAGCCGGATCTCGGGCACATTATTGGAGATGTCCATGATCTGAAAGTGCAATGTTTGTCCTGCAATGACGAAAATATATACTTAGAAGGAGAACGGTGATATACGGTAAATATACGGACGGTAATGTCGAATTCGAAATCGAAATCTTAAAAGAAAGCAAGCATCTCTCAAAGGGATTGAGACGAGGTAACGCTTGACACCATGAACCTGAATGAGTAGTAGTATTAGTAGTATTAGTGGTGGTGGTGGTGGTAGCTGTATTAGTAGTTGTAGTAGTAGTAGCAGCAGTAGCAGCAGTAGTAGTAGTAGTAGTAGTAGTAGTAGTAGTAGTAGTAATAGCAATAGTAGTAATAAATAGTAATAGTAATAATAACAGTAGTAGTAATAGTAGCAGTATTAGTGGTAGCAGTAATAATAATGGTAGTGATAGTACTAGTAGAGATAGTAATGCTAGTGATGGTGGTAGTAGTAATAGCAGGTAGTTAACCTAGTAGCCTAAAGGGTGAAGCCATAGTTTAGTCGGGGACGTAGCCAGGATTTTTCAAAGGAGGGTCACACTGTGTCAAACAGAGGGTATTCACCAATGTAATGTCACAAAAACAAAAACAAAACAAAAAAACAAAGGACCCTCCCCCTCCTTACCCTTAGCTACGCCCTTGTAATTACCTTTTTCCCGAAAATGCTCCAAGTCAAACATGTTGAAAGAGTATATATTGGCTCCTTCGTTCTGTATGACAGTGAATGGTCCTTTTGTTCCCATGGTAACCTCATCATGAAGTCTGAATGAAACATAAACAATTGATTATGTATTCATCATTATAAATACGAGTGATGTTAAGAAAGAATTAGAGTTGAGTAAGTGAGAAAACTAGATTCAGCGAAATTTAAAAGAATCAGAATGAAAAAAGGGCGATGCACTTCAGGAGAAATCTCTCTTTTTTTTAACAATTCAAAGCCAACTGTTTACAGGAACAGAGTCAGTGAAGAACTTCGATTCCCCTGGTCGTTTGATCAATAGAAACTAGTATTACCAGTAATGAAAACATTTATTGATCAGTTTTGGATATCCGACCCATCTGGCTTTTGAGAATATCAAAATTATTTCTTCCATTACTGTTAAGTGGTCACATACCTCGATCCTTTAAAGATGGTTACTCCTTTCACATTTCCTACTCTTTTCCATCCCCAGTCCCCCTTCATGAAGTAAAGATCTCCGTCGCCGTAAGAGTTATCGAAGAAGATTCCGGACGAGAGGCTTCCACGTTTACCTCTTAATCTATATAATGTATATCGATTTCAAATAGGAAAGATCGTGTTTTTGTTCAAGATAGGCTGTCTTCCTAATACTCTTAAAAGATTATTTTCGTTATCGAGTAGCCATCATTGCTATTGCATCAGACAATGCAATTACTTTTACATATTCCTTGCAGAACAAATATCAAAAAGTTTGCGTTATGTTTTCAAGGACCTAAATTTTTCAATTCTCTGAATATAGAAATCCAAAATGTTGGCACATTTTCCCTGTTCGTTATGACTTTTTGGGAGCTCCGCTGGAACGCAAGTTCTGTGGTAATACCATCAATGTTAACACTGGGAGTTTCCGCGAGTACATCGAATTCCTCTCAAGAAGGTACCAATATTGAGAGTAGCTCCAATTGACAGCAGGTTACCATCTCCTCCTAAATCAACGACCAGGAAGTCAATTTTAGTATACTCATTGCGACCCACCATGCCACTCATTACGAACACATCATTCCCTGCTCCAGTGTCGATCTTCACTTGCCCATGTACGGGATTTATCCGGGTCAACTCATCAATGCTGATTCGGTCGCTCTCCGGTTTACAATGACCAGCTCTAGTGTCATCCGAATGGCTTGTCTTTCTTTCACGCTTGGAAGCTTCGTCCCTAGCGGAGAAGTGGCTAAGGTCCACATCATTGTACTGGGGTACAGCTGAGATTTAGATTTGATACTCACGAGTGTGAGTCCCAATCGAATGGGACAACACAAAGTGTTGTTTCTAATTAATCAAAACTATGAAGAAATTAGAGAACCAAAATACTCATCCGTTTGACATTTTCATAGCTGTAAACATAGTTGACTTTTTCCACGAAAAACTGTACCCAAAAGTTAAGCATTTTCGAGAAACTGTACCCAGAAGTCTGTGTAACAACGCGCAGGTAGCGTGAATTGTGCAGTGACACAAGCATGACCTTTAAACTGTCCTATCAAACTGTCCAGTCACAAGCATGACGGGTACACTGTTCCATTTGTGCTCCAATTGTATTGCTGATAGCCAATCACGTTCAAGAGATTTTTGATAGCTCTGACGATAAAGTTAAGTCAAGGCAATAGATTACAACTATCTTTATTCTCATTAGTGGACTGACTGATCTGTGTGTCAAAAATGTGAGAGAAATTACTTCATGATTAATTATGCGAGGAAATGGGCTGGCTGTGCATCAGCACTAAAATGGGCTGGCTGTGCATCAGCACTAAAATGGGCTGGCTGTGCATTAGCACTAAAATGGGATACACAGCTGTTCTTGTTATCTCAAAAGATACATGTTCGCATTGTGGGATGCTGAATAAGAAAAGAAATAATCACTCTAAGGGAAATTCATTAAATTTATTTCCACAGCTCTGCACTTATTTTATCATTAAAGTACATCGTAACATTTGTTGTTCTTGTAATTGTAGCAATGGTTTTCAGCTTCACATTGTTTAGCTGACAAGCGCAGGTACTTTATCTTGGCTCCCCCGTACTGATCACACACCGAATCTAGCAAATAAAAATGACACAATGAGCAAAGCAGTTAATGTGTGGTCAATCTGACATGCACGCGTTTGTTGTAAGAACTTTTCAAGTTTAGAATATCAACTGCTTTCAGAGCTCTTGAATGAGCTTTTAGTGTTTAAGCGAAGCACAGCGGCATTCGGCTTTCGATGCTAACAACTCAAAAGGAGCTTCGCTAATGATGATGGTTATAACTGCGTGATGTTCAACTTATATAGGAGGGTAAATTTTACCAAGTCTTAAAGATGAAGTTTTCAAGCCCATCTAATTTTTCTCCTTTATAGAGATGGCTCTTAGATGATAATTTTCCTACCTTTGCTGTAGTAGCATATGGCTGTCATCATATTGCGCCTTCGTGTATCCCACCCATCCGACCAAAAGCATCTATCTGGTTTACTCTCACAGTCCTCTTGACTGGTATGCCATGGTGCGGCCATAACTGACATCTGTAATACATACTCACCAGGAGTCACGCATCCGCTGGGTACTAAAAAGGGTAAAAACCATAATTTATACCAGTAAGATTTCCAAAGTACAGTATCCATTTACCTGGTTTTGTTAAAACACACAATACCAGAGTGCTTTTCGTTTGAGTCAGTGTCACCCCCCACCCGCAAATAAATACAGATACTGCATGTGGGATGCTTGTCACAAATTTAGGCGAGGAATGTTCTGGATCAACATCTAGTTCTCTGAAGCTCAGTGGTAAAGCATGGGAGCATACATCTGAAGGTCTGGGTTCCATTCCTTGTAAGGATTCGGACAGTTTCTTTGATCTACGCCCGTAACTCCCCCGCCCCCCACCCCCAAATAAAATAAAATAAATGTCAATCTCCTCTTCTCGACTGAGTTCAACAAGTGGTTGTCTTTCTTATTCTAATATTTTCGTGTTGGTGTGAAGGTTCCCATATCATTTAGCGCTAAAAATTTGCTCAAATACCTGCTTCCAATGTAAATGTGTCCTCCATGCTTGGGAAGTTTCTAGTATAAAGGTTCTTATATCCCGTAACACTTCCACGGCAGCCATCATGAAACTTCAACCAGTTACTCCTCATACTTTCATACCTTTCACCTGCTTTTCCTTGAGTTCGGATGCCAATCACAGGGCCCCTCTTGCGAGATACGATAAAATTGAATCTGTACCGGTCTTTGGCACTGACTCTCGTCAGCTTGTTGGCGTACACGCTATAATGAGAGTAAACTGGATCTGCGTCGAAGTAATAGCCAGATGGATTTTTGGAGCTGGAGAGAATCTCAAATCTGAATACATTTTCAACTGCTTAAATATAGGTTCAGAATGAGCGTTAAAGGTACTTCTTGATATAATTCGTACCACCTTTTTCTGGAGTAGGACCATACGTTTCAAGTTTGATGGATAAGTGGAGCCCCATACCGTAATGCGGTAAATAGGGATAGACAAGACTATGGTACAGGGTACATAAAGTTGAAGTAGGTAGTCACAGATTAGCTGTATAGATTAAACCAATGGGTTTTGAAACTTTCCTAACGAATTCTATGAATTTTAGGAGAGTCTTAAGTCACTTTCCCTTTTACAAAATTCTCCGTACTCTTAGAATTTTTAATTTGTCGCCCCTGTCCTTAACAACATTGACATGAGGGTTGGGGAGGGAACGTATCAACCATGATCATCAAATAAATAATGGGGCACCTAAATTAATTCCTTTCTATTCTTTGAGAATGAAGCCGTAACTTAAAGTATCATGTCAGTTTTCTATCTTTAAATGAAAATGAAAAACAATGCGTGACGACAGCAAAAAACGGTTGCGAAAGGGATTACCCTTATTACCGTTCCTCTAACAGAGAGAAAATCAAACTAATGCTCTTGATAAAAACAAAATTAGCTCATGCAGTTCTGCGGGTTTTTTTCGACTTTTAGGCAAAACGATATTATTCTTAAGGCTCCACTGTTCTCAAAGAAAAACTTTAGAGAAAAGACAACCACAAAAAGTTTTTTTTTTTTCCAAAAACTTGAGTTACACCAGAGCGTGAAAGGATTAGTGGTCGTGTATCCCTCTTAAATGCCTTAAAATTTAAATGTTCATATTTAGATCTGTTAAATTGCAGTCAATGTCAGGAATAAACCTTTGTTAGGAGATTAAAATAAAAACAACAGCACAAAAAAGAAGAGATGCAAAAAAGGAATATAGAACAACATTCCTAGTTCCTGCTTTGCTCCTTTTACTCCTCGAGAGGGTCGATTTTCTCAAAGGTTTGTTCTGGATGGTATAGCACCCTGAACTCTCGCTTTATAGTAATCCACCTCACGTCTTCGCGCGCAACGTCCCGGCTACGAGGCTCGGAGTCCAAAGCGTCTCGAAATCTGGCGACGGTGAAAAGTCCTAATCCCTGTTTTAAACAACACAGAAAAAGTCATGAAGATACACTTATGTTATGTAACTAAGTAAACAGGGGTTCGTGACTTTTCGCTGACCTTGGGTCAATTTTCACCGGCTTCGATTGGTAAAAAACCCACATCGATTGGTGCATGTCACACCTACAACCTCATAAGATGAGTGTATCTTAACGGAATACTCGAAGAAATAAATAGAAAGGGAAAATAGTCTTGGTTTTGGCTAATTTCGATATGAATGGAACAGTTAAGGAAGTCTTGTAAATGTAGGGGAACATTCACAAATCGAAGGCTTATCATTTGTTTGAGTTTTCCACTCAAAACGTTCAAATAATAATTTGTACATTCATAAATGGACTTAATTTATACTAAGGAAAGTGATACATACGTCGGGTGTGTCAATCCCTCTAGTGCTCAAATAAGGACTGAGCTCTATAGAAGTCTGGAACAGAGGCAGATAATCAGCCTCGGCAGTGGTGGCATACAACATAATGATGTCGTTACATCCGTCAGGTCTTCTTAATTCATCGTTGGGCTCTTCCATGAGACGGAATGTCTCAGGCTGGAGAAAAACGCGCCTGATCTCTGATACTGACTCACCAGGCCTGAGCACAGAGGTGAGACCCTACAGAGTGTATGAATAAGGCAACGACAAAAATGTTAGTCTTGAAGATGTAAAAAACCCTTCTCCGGTAAAAGCAATGTACGATGCCCAATTATAAAACAAACTAAAAAAATAACTCGCCTTTTTCGCTGCCGGATACAAGGCAACAATGGAGCCATCGGACTGGTAGGAAATCAAACAAACGTGAATTGGAAATTCCTCGTTATTGGTGATCTGAATCACAACCGCGTCACCTGAAGAATCTACCACATCGTACTTTCTACGAAAACCCGAGTTGGGTGCAATCTCGACTTTGTGGGCTCCAAAATTTGGAACATAATCCTCTGGGTGCCCTGGAACAAAGAAATAACCAGGAAGAAAATGGTGAGGAACGTTACCCCTTGCTGCCAGGGAATCTACTGAAAAAGTTTGAATATCAAAAGATGCTCCTACTCATGACCATACAGTTACAAGGGAGGGAATAAAGGGAAAGTTTTCATGATAATATCCCCCCCCCCCTCATGCCGGGGAGTCAATAGGTATATCATAGAGGCCTTTGTTGCAGTTATTCCTCAGAATAATGAAAAAAAAAAGTTTTGAACTTTCCTTAAATGTTCCCTTCTAACATCTCACCCTATTTATACGGCATTACCTTCATAAACTTCCGCGGTTTGAACAGCCTGAGCTTTCAACTCCTTCTTCTTAGTCAGATTTTTCTTGTAGGAAGGCACGTTCTCCACTTTGAACAGCTTGAGGCTAACATTCCTTAGCATGTTGTGACCGGGATCCCTGAGCCGGGTCCCAAACTTGACACGAAAATACTTGCAAAGATTTTTTATCATGAGGTGACCATCCTCAACCCGTTGATCCGGTGCAATCATCCTTCCTTTGTAAATGGCACGCCAACATTTTTTCCTGAGAATCAAATTTCTTACTTAAGATTCGCTCATGGAAGTGTTCAACCCTTTAAACTCCCATGAGTGACCAAGACAGAATTTCTCTTTACAATATCAATACAATATCAAGCAGACAAGTGATGAGAATAAAGAAAAATATCAATTAGGGGATTATAAGTTGATCCAATACCAAATTCGTAAAACTAACATCACAAGAACTGTACGGCAGACAGTAAGGAGAATTACTAAAGGGATCTTGGGAGTTAAAGGCTTGAGAATTTGCATAACACGATATCTTAAAGAAAACAAACCAACACACGGAGAACACACCCCACACGAGCGGAAGTAAGCGGATTCTCCTGTATGAAAATGAGTGTCACAGTACTTCTGAATTGCCTCTTTTAATATACTCCTGCGCGTGAGTGATCCAAACAATTAAAAACGAACAAACACGCAAACAAACACGTAAACAAACACGTAAATAAACTATTAAACAATTTACACCACCTTAAAGGATCAATCAAAAGCATAAAATCTGCACACTTGGTTCCGATTGCATGTACGTTCACCTTTAATCATTTTAACCCGATGCTTTAGTGCGTCGGCTCAAACCTGTCCGGGACCGCTTGAGCCATAACGAGTTCATTCCCTTTTACATTTTGTCTATATCCCAAATAGGGAAATGCCGAATAAATTAACTTAATTAGTGTTAGAGGCCTGAAACAGAGGTCTGAAACAATAACGTAGAAGTATTAAAAATTTGCTGCTAATTACTTTTCGATTGTTACCACGTCCATCTTGACACATTCAGGTGTTTCTTGTTCTCTTAAGCTGAACATCTGCAGGCTGTCCATTAATATTGCCAGTTTCAATTCCCAAATATATTTCTCTTCAAGCTCTGTAGCAATGATGCAAATGGGATAGAACATACTTCCTAGCTTGGCCAGACGAGCTTTGTATCCCACCTGAAATAGAAACAAAAAAAACTTTTCAAGCCACGTTAAATAAACATAAAGATGCTACGTTGCCGTGGGTCTGTTCAATCACAGATAACGTCAAAATGTGGCAAGAACAAAAAGAAGAGGCACACGACGCGCAGTCGAGTGTGACACTGATGCTCTTACGTGTAACACAATCTATTTGTTTTGTGTGAAAAAAAAGCCAAATGTTGTCAGTGGTGATGTCATCCTTACGTCTGTTCTCCAAAAGATCATGAGTAAGACCCAACCAAAATGCATGTATAATTCAGTTTATTATATAACCCTTTAACTCCCATGAGTGACCAAGACAGAATTTCTCCTTACAATATCAACCAGATAAGTATTGAGAATAAAGAAAAATACCAATTTGGGGATAATACGTTAATTGATGCAATACTAAATTCTCTGAACTAACATTATAGGAATTGTATGGTAATTAGTAAGGAGAATTTAAAATTTGATCTGAGAGTTAAAGGATGAAAAGAACTGGAGATATGTTTTGCATTGAGGTGTATTTCTCCATTCAATTTAATAAGCTTCAAATGATCTACACCAAATTGAATACCATCTGTGAGGAGGCACTGACCATGAATCAAAATAATTTTAAGGAACACACAAATAACATTCTGCAGTTAAGGCTAAATAATCAAAAAAATAATCCAAGTTATGGATAATAAATTTCCCCAGCTACATTAGGAAGTTATATAGTGTAGCTGTAGAGTAAAACAGACATAACCCACCCATTGGTGACAATTGAAATAGGAATGTCAAACCTATGTGTGGTATGAACACTAAACAATGGATACACCTGCAAGAGGGTGGGAAAAAAAAACAAACAAACAAACTGTTTCTAATGAACAACAGTTTGTATATTGTGATAATGTACTGTGATCATCTGGGTGAGTGTGAGGACACTCACACTCACACACTCACACCTCACACACTCACACTCACACTCACACTCACACTCACACTCACTCACACTCACACTCTGGGTGGGTGAGTGTGTCACACTCACTCACTTGGAAGACTCTTGTCAGAAACAGTCACCACTATCAACATGAGACCCTGTCAGGACTACACCCACTGGGACAATCAGATAACACTATCACATGTTACCCCTGGTTCAAAACCATTTGCTGCAGTTGATATATTACAAATCTTGAGGGAAATGTCCAAACCTTGAAAGCTGTATTATACTGCTCTTGTGCAACATAATTTATATATTAATAAAAAATGTTTTTGAGAATGTGATATCTATAAATCACTCATCCAATGAGAAACAAGCAGTTCAAGGGTGAGCACGTGACAGCTTATCCCTGCCTTCCAAAACACTTATGGAAAAAAAAAATATTCACATGCATGCAAAACTATACGGAGAGCTGGGAATGGCAGAAAATTCCACTTAACTTAATATTAAAAAAGATTGAGAGCCAAAACTAAAGACAGCCTTACTTTGACTTTGCATTCATGAAAGATAGAGTTAATTTCCACTTCAGCAGTTGACTCAGTTGCATGGATGTTTTCATGACTGACATTAACGGTTGCCATGCGGAAATCCTCCATTTGATTTTCATCTGTCAGTCTAGTATCAAAAATGTAATACACTCCTTCAACAACACCCTGTAGAAATCCAGCATTGAGTGTGATTCTGTATGTAAACTCTCTCTTTTCATGAACTTCCTTCACTTCAAATGATATGGGAGGTGGAGGTGCTGTAGAGAACATTCAAATATATACAACATCACCTTTTTGGAAGTGTTTTTCCTCTAACATGCAGTCACAAGTTAACAAAATAAATTATATGGTCATAACAGAAAGAAACATGAAGACATTAAGCACTTAAAGATAAGGCTATGATTAGAACCCCACAGGAATTCCAAACCTTACCCTAGGGTTTTTTTTTTGTAAATCCTGGCAATTTGTCACATAGATTTCAATGACAAGATTTGATAAGATGGTTTGTAAATCTCACACCAATAAGGTAAGATTTTAATATAACAGTTGAAAAATAATTTAATGCAACAAGAACTTCAAAGGCAGCCATTTAATTTAACAGGTAGAATGAGCTGGCTACCCACTCACTGCCTTCAGACAAACATCATTCCACTTCTCACACGTATGTGATTCTCTTCAAATTTGATGAAACTGATGACATCCAGGAACAAAAAAGGAAGATGGATCAGAATAGACCTCAAAATGCATTAAAATGCAACTGAAAGAGTCTAGGACTTCAAAATTATACAGGGAGCTAGGTGCAGACCTCCCTTTATAAACAAAAGGCCCTCTGAGCCTTCAAAAATACCTTTCCAACCTAATTATTTTGTAAACACCATAGTGTTAAATTAACAAGTAAGTCACCTTTGTCAAAGCTGAACAGAATCAAATTCATGTTTCCCCCCTCAAATTGTGGAGTCTGACGTTGCTTCCTGTCAGCCATCCTTTGTCTTACAAGACTATCATAAAAAAAATCAAAATAATTACTAATCATGACAAACAAAGTAAATTTAAACATAGTTCCTGTAGTTCTAGCTATGCACCCATGAAAGAGGTAAATGACTTCCTTGACCCTCTACTCCCTAACATCAGTATGCATATTCGCCATACAAGCCTCCCTAGACACTTCCTAGTGTTCTAACAAGGAGAATTTGTTCAACAATCAAGAGCTTCTTAGGTTGGTGATCATCTCCTTTATTCTCATGACCTTAATGCTTGATTCAGGGCTGATGTTATGAGGAGAAATTAGATGTTAGTCAATCTTAGGGGTTAAAGGGATAAAAGAAAACAACAAGGCTATCAGGGGTTAATTGTGGTTGCCTGTTGGATACTTAAAACTGTTATTTCACAGTGTAGACTTAAAAGGGTTATTTCACAACAGCTTTGATGTTATTAGGAGAATTACCCTTAACACCTTTTGAGCATATTGTAGGAGAGTCTTTGTCCTGGTGGAGACTCTTTGATAACTGCTACCAGTGCAGAAGTAAACATTCCATGGATTTCACCAAGTTCATGATCCATAAACTCATAGGCTTTTTCATTTGTTGCACAGGCTCCCATGAAAATGAAATTGTCATTTTCATGTGGTGACCATCCTTCTGATTTTAAAGCTGGAGTCCAAAACTCACTGACTGGGTAGGGTAGAGCCACAGGTGCACTTGCTGGATTGGCTGGCTGTGTCTCCTGAAATGGAGAAAGATGCATCTGATGCTATGTGAACAATAATCTTCGCAATATCACAACCTACTAGTAGATGGTATTTCTTCGGTATGTCTTGAATATAAAGTAAATGAAGAGTTATCATCAGTGAAATGATTGACTTATTGGTTAGAAATTGATTGAAAGAGTGACAGATGGCATGACTAACTGATTGACTGCCTCAAGAGGTAAGGTTCTAGAGAAACTGGTGCTGCCATGGAGAGCATAACAGGGCAACTATGTATTGTCAACTGAGTTGATAAAGAAATGCAAATTGGGCATTGTAAAGAGTTTCTAAGCTGATTGTCAGAGCAAATGATGAGGGGCCAACCCTTGCAATGTCAGTTTCGAAACTCTTTATGTTGGCCAAATTACGCTATTAACTCAGGTGATGATACTACCCTGATTGACAGATTGGTTGATTGATTGATTGATTGATCAATTGATTGAAGAGGAAAGATAGAAGAACAAGAAAAGAGTATTTTCCTAAATTTTTCACATCGAAGCATTTGTGTAGTTCACAGTGGGTGCAAAGAGTATGTAGCAGGATGTAGGAACATTTCTTGTGAAGAAAATATCAACCTAATGAATTGAATGTTATTCAACAGTGGTGACCACCACCTACTTTAGTATAACCTGTTTCATTATGCCGACAACAACCATCAAAGAATCAAAAAAGCTACTCAAAGTCTTGTCATGGAGAAGCTGTTACATAATCATGTACATGAAAAGAAAAATCAAATAATATTTTTAAAAAATCTACCTGAGTAACTGTTGAACTCAGTTGTGTTTCCTGAACTGGAGAGTGCTCTTCTTCATGCTCCGTGGGATACCCTCTGGCTTTTAGAACCTTTTGATACTCACTGATGTATTCATCAGACAATGCAAGCTGTGCAAAGAAGACATTCAAAACACTTGCAATTAGTGTCTGCATTTAAGTCTGCTTGTAGGTTTAATCACAAGTTTATTATGTAACTGCTGCAACTCACATCTTATGTTGCATGAAGCAACTTTACCCCTTAACTCCTGTAAGTGACCAAGACAGAATTTCTCCTCACACTATCAATACAATATCAAGCTGGCAAGTGATGAGAATGAAGTAAAATGTCAATTAGGGGATTAATAGTTGATCCCATGCAAAATTCTCCAAACTAACATTATAAAAATTGGTTGACAGACAGTAAGGAGAATTACTAATGAGATCTGGGAGTGAAAGGGTTCAGGTATTGACATTAATCCTGGGAAGGATATGCAACAGATGTGGTCCATCACAGGAAATTCTGCCAAAATTCATAACATTTTCCAAAACTGTAATCAAGCTTTACTAATTGTTTTCCTTCAGTGTTACTGCAAATAATAATGTTGAATTTTGAGTAAGGACTAAACTCAAAGTTCAACATTATTATTTACACTGTAAAATACTTTTGTAGGAGAACATACACCAATTTTCAAAGCAACAGAGGCTTGGCCTAGAACTTCAATGTTATTTCCCAAAAAGCTTTTCTGTTACAATGCTTATTTATTTGCCTTGGTGGAAACATGCATTGTGTGACTTAAGTGGACTGAGCTTTCCCAGAAACACAATGATTCATACTTCTTTACGGCAGAAATAAAAAATATATGGCTTTTGGACAAACAATTCTTCTTTAACTGAACTTTCTAAAATGATCAATGGTTGAGGTTTCCTGAAAACCAGTTGTGACACTAAAATTTACTTTTAGATCCAAAGTATTTGAAACTGGTTCAGAACAAATGCAACAAATGTAAGTTCATTCACATCATCTGATTTAATCTACAGTATAAAATACATTTAGAAGTTTATCTGCTTTGCACGTTTTCAAATCAAGAAAAACTTTTGAGCTACAGTATTGCCCCACGGTCAGTGGTTTACCTGTTTTATGCCTGTGTAGGTGTTTTTCACCTCTGAATTACCTCTGTACATATGGCCAGAAAAACAGCAATCAAAGATAACATTGACAAGTGCCCCCTTGTTAATCAACTTGGACAGGTGAGGACTGAAATGTTCACCTGTTATACAAGTATCAAGGATATGGTATTCATCAACCTGCAAAAAAAATTAAAAACATAAAAGGTTAACTTAGTTGAGACTTATTACAATCTTATGTTAAAAATAAAGGGGCTACACTTATACACTTACATCAGAGTGACGTGGCCCATAAAGGTGTTGGCCAGGGAGAAAACTTGAAAACACCTCTTTCATTGCAAATTTATACTTACTGAAATACTCCCTAACTAATACCAGAGTTTTGATTTGATAGATTAGGCCAATGATCAGTTTGTTACATACACCTTCTTTCCATCTCTGTGCCAAGATGTCAAATGGTTTTTATCTAATGGTCACGGTATTTAAATTTAGTTACGCTAAGAAATGGGAACTACATGTGTTTATTATTTACCATTTCTCTTGTTAAGTCTCCAGGAATCAAGCCTTCATCAAAATAGCCAGCTTGTTTAGGATCAAAGCTATGGCCATGGCCACAATAATAAACAACAACCACTGAACCTTTTTGTGCCCTTTCAGACAATTCTTCTAAGGAAGCTAGGATGCTTGCCCGTGATGCCAGCAGGCCTTCAAGGACCTTAAATGTAAGCATAGAAAGGTTTTGATATATAATGATAAGGTAAGTGGCCAGGTTATCAAGTAAAGTTTAAAATAGCAGTGTTGAGAAGTTGAGTTTTGAGCATATTTTGATAGGATTTTTGACACAGTAGATCAGTCTTTGAAATCTCAAAATGCTAGTGTCTGCAGTACTCCATGCTGCAGTTCAATCAATATAAAAATCTATTGTTTATAATGTTTTAATACAACTTTTTAGATAACAATTATGTGATCATATTGAGCCATCACATTTGTTTTGTTGACGTATTTAAAGCTTGCCCAGCTATGTTTGCATCCAGATCTTGCAAAATGAAAAACCCCATAAACTACTACATTAGATCCATATAAGTAGCCCTTTTATATTAGTACTTTCTTGTTTCCTCTTTTTAAATCTTGAAATGTCACACGAGTCTTCAAAAACAGTTGCTGGCCACTGAATGATGAAACGGAAAATCTGATTTTTGGTTTCCAAATGAAGACTTTGGAACACTGGCCCTATAGGCTTAGGACACTGTATACATTCAATGGTAGGGATAAATTTAAGATACGCAGTGCCAGACTGCAAAAATTTGGAGACTTTCTACAGACCTTAATGTTTTCTGGTTGGAATCCATTCTCACAGAGCATGTCTTTCATCAACTTTAGATCATTTGCTACACCTTGCAGGGGGCCACAGTAGGTTGGCAAATCTGCTGGATAACTTGGTCCAATCAAAAGGGCTAAAGTTTCAGCCATATCTCTTTAGAAATCTGAGTATACATAAAGCAATAGGAAATATTGATGCTAAAAAGATTGGGCATGAGGTTGATGATATGAATTTTGTTTTAGATCCATGTAATTTAATGAAATATGAAGAAATTTTATCGAATGAAAATTTTAAAGAATGTTGTCCTACATATGTGAGCTTACAGTAGATGACCCTGTCACCTTATTTCTCTTCCTTCTTTAGTCAAGGACTACAGTAAAAACCCGCTTATAAGAACCTGGGTTTTAAGAACCTGTTAGGCTAA